CTGATGTAGAATGTGTGAATGAGGGTTTTTTGTATTAGTCTCACCACAGAACCTCAGCTTCGTTATGCCCCTTTGGACCTGAACTAGCCACACTGTGGTCTAACCTGGTCTGAAGCTCATTCAGTTACAACACTGACAATCCCTGCATGACACTGCTAATGATAAAGTTTCTTATTATAAGTCATGATGAACTAAACCCTGGAGAGGAGCTGAAATGTCAGTGCAGCCAGTTATGGAAATTGTAATTGGTTCAGGTCTCAGCTGTGACTCGTTCCAGAGGGAGACGCTGCGTTATCCTATTGAAAACGTGTGAAATTGATCTTAGGCCCATTAGGTTTTTATTCCTGTTATAAAAGGCTGTTTCTATATCATGTAATCAATACCTCAGTATATGAAGAAACCTTTTTGTGAATCTTACACGAAATCAAGGCAAAGTGTTTTGTGTTCATTTTTTAACTGGCTACTCTGGAGGGTCTTGTTCTGAATTTTTTAGAAGGATGAGCACAAGGATCCAATACTGTGTAGTATGGCTCACCAAAGCTAGATTGAAATGTGTATATACTACAGTCTGTTCATTCAATCACAATTCACAAGTTTATTGAATTATCTTCTTCAAAGGTCTGTCATTAGTTTTCTGTTGCCTCTGGTCTTGAAGTGGCCATGTTGTTAACTTTGATATCAGACTACACTGCTGATCTCAAACACACAGTTGTTATAGATGTCAGACTTAGAATAGTAGTTCATTGTAAGGCTGAATCATTTCTATTATATGATGTTGATTTTTGTCATTTTTTTGATTGATGAGTAGTTACAAAAAAATCGAATACTGTCAGACTTCCACCTGGACTGCAGTAGATCACCAGCCGAGGGGGTGGATGGATGAAAAAATTCACTGGCCAATCATATTTTTTACCCACCAAGATTGTGTTTTTGTTTCAGATGCACATTTGTTACAGGACATTCAGTTGGGTGTATGTGGTATTGTGTTCTGTTGAATCAAACCACAGTTTTAAGTCACGGATTGGAACATTTGATCAGATCTGAAAAATGAAAAAAATAAAATAAAATCTATTTTCTGCCTTTATGTTTTTTTAAAGGTAGTAGTGCCCAGGGCCCCCTGCTACCCTCTGGAACGACCTCTGCAGTACAACATTACAAACTCAAAACAAAACTCCTCTGTGAATAACTGCTTTAATCCACAGAAACAAGATTTTCTCTCGATTTATCATTTTAAAGTTAAACACATAACATTAGCAGACTTTTCATTATTGGACGTGTATGTCTGACTGCTCCTGCTGCGCGTGTTGGAAGTGAAAAGTGGAGCGTGCATCTACAGTATGTCTTCAGTGTTTATAACGCAGCCCTGTAACTGAGTCTGTGTGGATACGTTTACAGACTACAGCAGGCTGTGGGATAACGTTACTATCATTAAGTTACTGAATGCTGAGAAAAGCAGACATGATGAGAGTGAACGCTGTAAAGTCGAACAGACCGTTTGAGCAGATCACATGCGTCACTGATTGGGTCTGAGAGACAGCTCTCTCTCTACTGCAGTACCAGTTTGAAACTCTGCTTGGCTTTGAAAAGTTAGGATCAAGTAGTCTAGTGGAATGTTTGAATATGGAAAGAGTGCATCCAGAAAAACATCATTAAATCTATTTAATTTTTGAAGCATCTAAAATTATTTAACATGAAGATTATTTCTGTCGGAGGGGAAAGGAATAAAAATGTCAAAACCCTGAGCTCTTCTCATTTCATGCAGCTGTCCAACAACCACAGAGTAGATCTGATTGGACGGTCTGTCCTGTGGCATGATGTCATGGATGACAACATCTCCAAAACAAACACTTTTGTTCTTGAGCTGAATTGATCTCTTTTCATTTTGTGTTTCTTCAATTTGACGTATTTCAGTGTTTTATTCCAGCTGACAGTCATGATGTCAGATGTGAAACTCAAGAGAAAATTCATGAGATTTTGTCCACCAAACAGATCAAAAAATTCCAATTAATGAAATGAATTTCCTTTTCAGAATCCTACGTTTGTTTTGCTGATTGATTCAGAGGGAAAGAAGTTTGTAAATCAAAGCTGCTTCAGAGTTATGTGTGGAAAGTGAATCTCAAAGCGTAGTTTAAAAGACAGCGTGACAAGATAGTTTTTGTGACTTAGCAAAGAAACTCAGCTCAAAAGGCAGATGAAGGATTCTGGAAAACCATTGAGGTATGAAAATTGTGAAATGCAACAGACGTGTCAGAATGGAGGAGAAGTGTTGAGCCTTTAAGTGAGTGGTTTCCAAACATTGTCACCGTGGTGCTTTTAGTCCTGCAGAAGAAAACGTCTGGGTTTGTTTTCAAGCAACTTGCTTCATAAATTTTCATATAAATGAGGTTACACTCCTTTCTGCTTGGTGTAGCAGAATACGATCTTTATGATGGGATATAAGTTCTTTATTATTAATTTATTAGCTTAATAAGTGAGCTCAAAAGCAAAGCAGTCGATTCTTTTTGTATTATTTGTGATCATTGAGCAGCTCAGCGAGTCTTACAATGTGATGTGACCACAGGTTCCTCTCATAACTCTGGCTTCAGGACGGGCTTTGCTGATGACCCATAAATGTTAAAACTAGATTTAGAAGGAGTGAGTTGTGTTAACTCAAATGCATAATGTTGTTGCATCATGTCTGATAAAGTCTTTTAAGTGTTAAAATAACACAGCACCAGTTTCAGCATCAGAGCGTGTGCTTCATGTGTGGGTTGTTTTCGTAGCCTCCGTTCTTTGCTGTTTGGTTCATCAATGCCGCTGATCAGTTTCCTGGGGGGGGGGTTTAAGCGGCTCGATGGGGCTGAAGGGCGCTGTGTCCTCTGGGATGGAGGCTTATAAATGCTGGAGCCTCTGGTTTCTGCCTCCTACTGCCTGTTAGAGTGGGCATGAGGAGTAGTTTAACGCAGGGGCAAGAAAAAGAGGCTCTACGCGCTGATAAGAGGTACCACAGGTGAGGCTCTGCGAGAAAGGAGGTGAGGCTCGAGGGTGTGGGTAGTCCACGATGTCATGATGCAAGTTTTGTTGTCTATGTTTCAAAAGTAATGACTGTGTTTGAAATGTAACTTTGTTGTGGAGATTCTAGCATGACATAATGTTGATTTGGTTGATGACAATCTAGCAATTTAAAAGCAGAGTCAAATAACAAGTTCAGTACTGCATAGTGAACGTTTTTTTTTTAGCATTTCTGTTCATAAAAGCAGGACAGCGGCCAAAGCTTTGCATTAGATTCCATCCTCTGGGTCACTGGATCCACCATGTTGGTCATTGATCTCTGTGCTTTGGATTGTAGTTCAGGAAAGCAGGTCACTGATTTCCTAAACTGAAACAATCAATGACTTCTCTGCCCTAAAGCTCCAAATCATTGGATAATTAAAACTACAGGCTCTGGATAGAGGACAGAAAAAGGAAGACAAAATACTTTTCATGATAAAATGCAAAGCTTTTATTTTTTACCTTGATTTAAAATATTTGTCTCATCTTGAATCAGACTTGATATTCTCTTACTTCTACTACTTTAGAAGTTGTTCCAGTGTATTTGAATGTCTAACTTTGGTGCTAAAATTTTCATCAGACTATTAATGACTCCGTGCATTATGCAACTGCAGCTGGCACAGATAATCTTACCTGCCGGCACTGACACTGGTGCATTTTTAATAGTGCCTGAAACTCTGAATAGGGTGATATCAGAGAAGCTAATAACATTTGGCAGCCATGTAATGGCAGTAGGCCAGGTTGTACCAACGTTGTAATTGAAGACAACATCGACAGCGACTGCACTCAGAATGCCATTATGCATCGTTCAATCATCCTTCAAACAGTCATCTCATCTGCTTTGCCATCATACCATTAACACCGGTGAATGGTATGTTCTTATTGTTTCCTTTGCCCTTGCTTTGGCCTCGTTTCATCATTTTAATTTTAATTTTTTCTTTCTTGTCTTAAATGTCTTACCTGATTACATATTCACCCCCTCTGCTCCCGACTTGCACCGGATTTTTTTATGGCGGACTATCTGGGTGTCCTGTCTTCCCTTTTCTTCACACGACAACCTCCCCCCCCCCCTCTGCCACCATGTGTGCTTCCTTATGATTGGAGATTGCAGAGTGTACTGTAGCCCCAATAGCAATGGCGGACAGTGACCACGAGGCTCACTCTTCGTCAGACGAGCATCACTCTCGCCCTGCCTCTGCTAATCACAGTAGGGACCATGACGCTGAACAGGTACCAAAACAAAAAAACCCTCACCTGAACTCTATAAAGAAGTCTACTCATCAACTCAACTTTACCAGTTAAGCCTACTTAAGCTCACTCTTGAGCGGATGTATGCTGCACAAACAGAAGTCAGGACCAACAGCTGAATTTAAATGACCTCATTGCTTTCAGAGAGCCACTGCATTATTTATCTGTATACTCAACTAGCAGGGAGACTACAGTATGTGTTACCTGGAGTCCCTTCAGCTGTGTATCCTCTTACAAGAAAAGCTCCATTCATTTGAACTTTATTGACAGCTTAGTGTATTAGGAATCTAGAAATGATGAATACACTATGTTCATAATGCCTTAAATATGTATTGTTCTTTAACAAGAACCATTAAAAAAGGCCTTTTGTGTAACTTAAAATGTTACATGTGATGAGAAGATTTGAAAGACATAATGTTAGAATAAAACCTGGAACATCAACCTGTATGAGTTATTTATGCCCAGGTATTACAGCTCATTCAAACTTTGTTGTACATCTGTTATATAACACTAATTAAATCTAATCTAAATTAATATAATAATAATAATAATAATAATAATAATAAAACCAGCTGAGTAGCCTATCTTACAAAATAGTTCGTCAACAATCTGAATCTCCATTCCTTCCTCACCATGTCGTCGATCCACCTGTCTTATCCCTCACCTTCTACTACCTCATCCATCCCCGTCAACCATGGCGTCTCTCTAGCACTCAAGCCAATCAGACGACTCAGAAGTGGAGAACATTATGCACGACCCTAACCACCAAGGAGGCCACGACCACGGCCACCACCACCACCACCACCATGACCATGACCACAAGCACCAACACCAACATGGCCTTGAGCCCGTTGATCCAGACAGGGAAGCTGAAGGCCCAGACCGCCCCCATACCCCGTCGTATTTGCGCCCCCCCGTGGCGGGTAGAGCGCAGTCGGATTCAGGTTCTGAGCCCGGTTTACCGCAGAGCAGTGTGGAGTTTGACTTGCCGTCCCCCGTCAGTCCCACCAGACCCAAGAGTCCATGGGGTCGATACGACCCGTACAACAATAATGAGGTAACACAAGGAACAGAGTATTGAGACCAAATGGAGAAAGACGATCTTCAGTTCTGCTTTACAGGCAATTTGTTGTCTTTGTTTTAAACAGTTTGTCTTTGGATTGATGAACGAGATGTGTCAGCTTGTGAACGATCGTATGAGAAACAGTCGATTATCTTATTTTCTTTCGGTTGAAGAGGTTGTGAATCGGAGTCTGTTGCTGTTTGTTTTGGTTGTGTTGTTAAGTTTTGGTGTTTTAAACTGCTCTGAAAGTTAAAGTGGTGCTGTCAACACACAATTGTGGAGAGTTTGATTGCAGCGTTTTTATAGAAATGTATGCTGGGTAATGTGTGCTTCACAGATGTTTAATTTTCATTACTGTGTGTGTTTGTAGGACCAGGATAAGGAATACGTGGGTTTTGCAACTCTGCCAAACCAGGTACACCGCAAGTCAGTCAAGAAGGGATTTGACTTCACGCTCATGGTGGCAGGTAAATCCTCTTTTTCTCATTAGCTGACATCTGATCCTAAGACCTGCTTCTACCAGAAAGAGACTCCTGATCACAAACTCTTAAACTTCTTTTTTTTGTTCTCTGTGTTGTTCTTTGTTTGAAGGGGAGTCTGGCCTGGGAAAGTCCACTTTGGTCAACAGTCTCTTTCTCACAGATCTTTACAAAGATAGGAAGCTGCTCAATGCTGAAGGTGAGGATTTGTTTTCCTCTTCCATGCTTGGTAATCATTTTACAATCTATGAAAGTGTATACTGAAAACCGGGGCTTGTTTTTGTCCTTTCCCCAGAGCGCATCACACAGACAGTAGAAATCACCAAACACACAGTGGATATAGAGGAGAAAGGTGTCAAACTGAAGCTCACCATTGTGGACACACCAGGCTTTGGGGATGCTGTTAACAACACTGAATGGTACATACCTAACATCTTTAATAAAGGGAAAAGCCTGATCCAAATCAAACTAGTCAGTTCCACTTTATAACATTTTTCTTTAGCACAGTTGTGTTTAAAAAGTAATGTGCAGTAGTTCCTCAGAGTGCAGTGCCTCAGAAACAGAATGTCCCTGTGTGTTTCCGCTCCAGCTGGAAGTCTGTGGCTGACTACATTGACCAGCAGTTTGAGCAGTACTTCAGGGACGAGAGTGGCCTCAACCGCAAGAATATCCAGGACAATCGTGTCCACTGCTGCCTATATTTTATCTCACCATTTGGTCATGGGTACGACAAATCTACTCCTCTCTCTCTCTCTTTATCACTCCTAATGATGGGGAATATTAAACACCTTTCTGCTGCAGTATGAAATGTCTCTCTGAGATGTTTTATCAAAAGAGTCACAGCCTCTATTAGCCCGTAATTACAAATAATTAAGGGACACTAAATAATATAAACTGGTGTATACTTTGAGTGCAGTCAGCCCTATAAATTGTTAATGCAGTTGGCTCCTGATGAGAGTTAAAGCAGTTCTCTGCTGCCTTCAGGTGGATTTATTTCTGGTGCAGTACTTTGTCTCTGATCAGTTCTTTGTGCTGGGTGCTGATGTTGCACTTATCACTGCATTTGTGCACATTGCACTGTTCCACATCACATGTGCTCATTAAAGAACAAATAAAGCCTCTCAAGTGATGCTGCAGTGTCCATCTCAAAGTCAAAGTGATGGAGACGTTGCGCCCTCTGTTGGAGAGTTCCAGCCATTACTCCACTCAAAGAGGTCACTTGAGAGAGCAAACCTCTGTCACCAGCTTAAAGCCAGAGAAACACAACACAGTATTCAAATCTTGTGTTAAATCAACGTCATCTGGCTGAGAACATATTTATTGATAGAAAATACACAACTGGTTCATGATCAGAATCCAAGTTCTTAACCCTCATTTCCAAACTTCATTTATGAAAATCTATTTCTATATTTAAATCCATTTCAATTGTTAGACATAGTTTCTAAAAGCTGAAATAATGAGCTTCAAGCTTTAGACTTTGCACGTCATGTTACTAGACTACAACACTTAAAGGTATCATCTCTGTTTGCTTGATGTGTCTGATTGTTTTGCATTGCTTCTAGCCTCCGACCTTTGGATGTTGAATTCATGAAAGCTCTCCATGAAAAGGTTAACATCGTCCCCATCTTGGCCAAAGCTGACACGCTCACCCCCAGCGAGGTCAAGAAAAAGAAAATAAAGGCAAGCCTGATTTGGGTCAATAAACATTAAACGCACCTACAGTTAAACCACAAGAGCAGATTCACATAACTCATTCATCAGTTTCTTGTTGAGAAAATACATTTATCTCGTATCGTCACTGATCACATTTTTAATCCTGCACTGCCAATATACACGTTTAAGCTCCCGTGTTCTGTTTCCTGTAGATCCGAGAGGAGATCGAGCAATACGGTATAAAGATCTACCAGTTCCCTGACTGTGACTCTGATGAAGATGAAGAGTTTAAGCAGCAGGACACGGAGCTGAAGGTGAGAGCCAGAGATACTGTGTGTTTTTCTCTCTGTCCTTTTTCTTTCGACAGCTCAGGGTTTACATGCATTTAAGTCCCCATGTGCATGAGTTATGGTTAGTTTATCTTAAACACAAAAGCTGAACCAGCATCTCAAATGAAAGTCACTGAAAACTTGATCTGTAAATAAATACAAAATACATTAGCAATAGAAGGTACATCATATTTACATTTACACATTACAGTACTTACAAACTGAACAAAACCATAATCTAAAGAACAATATCTGGCTAACGGACAAAAGTGATGTTGAAATAAATGTAGAGGCAGTTTCATGTAAGACCTTGGCATTCAGTCCACGACCGACGACACAGTCTTGATGAGTCAACCGTTCTTTGCTTTTCTGGCTTCATGAGCTGGCAACCAGGATACAGTCAGTGTGCCAGTTTATTTCTCTCCCTGCCTTTGTCCTTGTCTCACCTCTGATGGAGTAGAGAGAAGTGGGAATAAAAGATGGAGGAGGTTGAATAATGAATGGGAAGGGTTAAAAATGAAGGAAGTAATGTATGATTAAAGTGGAGGGGAAATAGTTTTAAATATAGCCTGTGCAGTGTCACTCGCTGGTCCATCTGCTAGAACAAAGTCATCCACAGTCTCTCTTGTGTTCATTCATTATATTTTTTTGGCTTCTCCAAACAAGGAGAGCATTCCCTTTGCTGTAATCGGCAGCAACACAGTGGTGGAGGCCAAAGGGAAGAGGGTGCGAGGTCGACTTTACCCCTGGGGCATCGTAGAAGGTAGGTTCTTCTGGTTCATCACAAGTTCTGCATCTTGTGCCTCATCTTTAGCCTTAAGAAATGCGACTTCCTTTTTTTTTTTTTTGTATTGACGCACACATACAATTGATCCTCACGCTGATGTTTTCAGTGGAGAACTCGGCACATTGTGATTTTGTGAAGCTGAGGAACATGCTCGTTCGCACGCACATGCAAGACCTGAAGGACGTGACCCGAGAGACTCACTACGAGAACTACAGAGCCCAGTGCATCCAGAGCATGACCCGCATGGTGGTGAAGGAACGCAACCGCAAGTAAGATTACACTAAAGCAAGGGGCACACAGGTATGCTAAGTGCGGAGGACATTTTATAGAGATAAGAATAACGTATTTTTTTAGGAAGAAAATGTCAATGATGTACTATATTGCCATTCTTTATTTGTTGGACAGGTCAGTGTTGACGAGGAGGCAGCTTTAGGGTGGACAGCACTGAGATGTGGATTAGATTGAGGATTTTACTTTGTTCTGGGAGTTTGACGAAAAAAAAAAGAAAAAAATTAATATATTCACTGGGCTTCTTTTCAACCTTTTCTTGAAACGTATCTTTTCTGCAAACTGCATCTTTCTGCAGTAAACTAACCAGGGAGAGCGGCACAGATTTCCCAATCCCCGTAGTGCCAGGAGTTGGAGACGAGACAGAAAAGCTCATCCGAGAGAAAGATGAGGAGGTACGGCACGCCGACCATGAACCGGACTCGCACCACCCACATGACGATCATGAGCACCATGAGTCTGAACATAATTCAGAGCACACCCAGCACTCAGAGCCTCCGCCCGGTCCAGAGACACACTCAGACCACATGGCCGATGAAGCCCTCTGATTGTCTTTAGCTCGCTGATTCTGTTCATCCATCAGATGTCTCTGAAGCATGTTTTCTGAGGTTGACAATGAGTAGCCTCACAAACATGAATTTGTGTTAAATATAGATTAAGTCCCCTTCTCCCTCGCTCTTCCAAGTCCTGTGACATTTGAACCCTGGGTAGGAAAGAGTTAGCCACATACAGGTTTTTTATAACTGCACATACTGCAAGACCTACAGTTACACGCTTGTAACACTAAAGCAACACAAAAAATTCAATGAATCTGTTAAATATGTTGCTTTAAACCTGTGGGGTCTTCATGAAATTAGACTTTGACTTTGGCAAGTTAAAGTGTTTGTTAACTTTGAAACTCCTTTCTACTTCTACTACGTTTTTTTCCCACATTTTAAAGAGTCCACACTGATTTCAACCTTTGGTTCATACAATTTACTACATGACCAAAATTCAACAGTCATTTTATAAACCCAAGGGTTTAAGTAAAGCTCATATAAGATGTGATTTTTATAGAAGTATATTTTATTCCCTTCATGTTCCCAATCATTTATTTATTTACATACAGCATGAGCTCAGTCACTGTAATCACTGTTCAGCAAAGCTAAGAAAATATACAGTATCTGTTCATGGTGGATGAACACAACAGCTATCCTTCAAATCCCCTCCCTAACCCCCGATCCATCTATTTATTTGAACAAATAAAGATACCATTTCTCCTCAGTTGTTCTTTTTTTTTGTTTTCAATCATTAAACATGACAATAGAACTGCATCAATCAAGCTAACTGAATTATATGGCAATTCATTTCACAATCGATTGTTTCTGTCAAATGAATAACTTTTTATGCCCTGAGTATCTCAAATATAAGAATTTGGATTGATTCAAATTAATATATTGGGGTTTAGACTGCTCATCGTATGAAGCAAAAATATTTTATGTCACAGTTTGCTGTGGGAAACTGATCAGTTTTTCTCACTGTCTCCACATTATATGTAATCCACCAAATTACATATTAATAAATGATAACATGAGCATTAGTTTAAGAACTTTTATACTTTTATTTTTTAGAAAAGAATTTATAGTTCAAAATGAAAAACAATGGAAACTACGGAAATCTATAACACCACACAGCTGGCAGTACAATTAAACTGCGCTTACATTTAAATTCTCACACGATTCTTGGGAGAGAAAGTCTTCTTACCTCCCTGACATTAAAGAAGAACTGAGTATGTGTTTTTAGTGAAGGCCATGACGCAGATTCCCTGCAGCCGTCCATCACAGGTCACGTGACAAAGAGAGAGCGGACTGATCTGCAGAGTATTATTGATTTGTTGTGTGTGCAGTCGTGTAAATAACTGGCTTGTATAAAAGTGAACATGCAGTGTGGAACTTGCTGACACTCTTTTCGTCTTCTCCTAACAGTTGAGGCGGATGCAGGAGATGCTGCAGAGGATCCAGGATCAAATGCACACTCAGAAGGAAGCCTATTAACACAGGACAGAAGCTACACTTCCTTCATGTCATTATACTGGGACTTAAAAAAAAAAAAACACCCAGAAACCTTTATTCCTCTCTAGAACATTGACATCCTATGTGTCCATGTGGATCAGGGATCTGCAGGAGGTGGTAAGATGACATTTGCAGCATAATGGCTCCCTTCATCCTCTCAAGAGTCTGACATAATGACTCCACTGCTGCAAGACACTCCACCCTTCACTCTTCTGTTTAGTCTTGTATCTGAAGTTAAAAAAAAAAACAATACATGCTTAAGTGTGATTGACTTTTAGTTTCCTGTAATAGTATGGATGTTTGAGTTATCGGGACATTATTTAGCCACTTGATCAAAGGGTTTTTATTTGATGCAGATCTGATATGAGGTTTCATAGGGTGACCTGCTCAGATTTTATTAAGGCACAAGGATTTTTTTTTACTATGTTCTAGGGTCAACATGCATATATGTATATTGTTATAATTTAATTTTCTAGAAAACACTCAAATATTTGTTCTACTGTAAGGATGACTGTTTTATCATTTTACTTCAGGTGATGTCCCAGTTTTTTTTTAGTTTTTTTTTATTGGGTTCAGAGTCATTTAAATTTGTTTTATCAGGATGCCTGTCAGCACATTTCTGTGAGGTTGTGCTCAGTGTTGGCCAGTCTTCAAGTCACTGTGATGCTTACAGATCACTATATCATTGAACTTATCCTTTTGACATGATGAGTCGTTTATTTTTTTGTAGAAATTACCCCCAAAAAACGGTTATTCCAGAGTCAGCTGGTAAAGTCATTGAGGGGGGGGGATTAGGACTTTGGTCGGACAAGACCCTTTTTTTTTTGCAGGGGAGGGTTGCATCGAAGGCCATGCAGTGTATTTATTTTTGCATGTTTTGTGAAGGTAACTGAGATTGCAGATGAATTACAGATGATGAATTAAGAAGCTATTTAATTGTTGGGGGAATTGTGTATGGAAAAGAAATTGATTCATTTTTGTTTTGGATGGTTGTTATTATTTCCTTAAGGGAACTCATACGTTGGGTCATGTTTACTTCATGTTTAGCTTCTAACCAAAGGCAACACATGTCCTACTTTTTTTTTTAATTGACTTTCATCGTTCTTTTCACAAAATACTTCTCAAAGAGGAATGATCTAAATTATTGGTTGAAATAAGACGCTCTGGCTATTCATTTTGAAGCTCTATTCATTTTAATGACACAAATCTGCCATGTTGTCACCGTTGTTTTGTAAAAAAAAAAAAAAAACATTCCTCAAGCTTGTCCCAGAGTCAAGTTTTATTTTGGTTTCAGTTTATTTTGTATTAAATTTGCCTTTTGTTATTCTTCTTGTTTAAGTATATTTATGTAATAAATTTATAAATTAAATGTGGATGGAAAGGACATAATGTACAAATTCAAATGTTGTAATAAATAAGGATCAAATTTCACATCATCAGACACTGGGTTGTGCTTTATGTTGTCAAGAGCAGGCTACATTGAAGTGCTTTGATTTTCTCTTATCTTATTATAATTCTGATTATTATGGAGTATACTGGGGCTTTTGTTTCCTGACTTCTACCTTGAAGGCAGCGCCCTCCTGTTGCTCCGCCCCCTCAATCACAAAATAACTACAGCTGCTAAATGTAAAAATAAAAGTTTCTTTTTTCCGGGTTAAAAAAAAAACAGCCTCAGACTTTTGTAAATGTAATACAATTTATTAAGTATCTTTTTTAATAAATTTGTCATTTTACATATCTTCCCAAGCTTTAAACATAATACAGTTAGATCTAAATGCAGCCCAACATTTACAGGCTATATACAACTTAAACTTTCTCCATAGGGAAAACATACAAGTATATTGTTGCTTTTTCAAGTGTCCGAATCCCTGTTTCCTGTTTTACTTTGTTTTGCTACAATGATTCCAAAATTAATCGTTCAGGATTATTTTCATGCTATCTTAATGTGGAACAAAGGTTGTTTATCTTTGAGTAAAATAAAAAAGAAGTTTGTGCTGTTGTCATATTGAATCAGAATCAAATACAAAAACATTTGAATAAATTAGTTTCAATGGCCGGATTCAAATATGGGAAGAGGTCTGTGTTGGCATCCCCTGAAATACAGCACTAAACATGGTCCCAGGTAAAAAACAAAAAATCTAATTTACATTAAATAGAAGAAGTTATTCTTCACATGAAACAAGCAACAGTTAATCTTAAAATACAAAATTGTCTTTACATGTTACACTTTACATACACATAATACTTGAATGAAGTATAAGCAAAAGGGCAGAACATCTGTGTGCTCCTCCTCCACATCCTTTCACAGGTCAGTACATTCAGGCTTAGGAGAACACAGCATGGTGCTGATTTAGCAAGTGCTTTGCTAAACTGCAGATTTTCTGCTCAGTGACTATAACAGAAATGTTCACAGTGGTAGCTTTGGAAATTTAAAGTCTTTGCAAAAAAATAAAAATATTCAAATTGATTGTTTTTACTGTTAAAAATCACAAAACAGGGATCCTAACCCTAAGTCTGTACGACAGGACTTCAATCATTAACTCTTACATCTACTTGCTGAAGGCTGACAACCCTACTGTGGGCTCTTGTTTGTATAATAACCATTGAATTTATGCATTAACAACATTCAAACACTCCTCTTCCTCTACCATATCCCAGCAAAACAGCATTGAAACACAACTTACTACATTTTGTGGTCCCTTTTATATTCAGAATCTCATCTCAATCTACATTTGTTGTTTTTTTCATTTCAGAAGACAAGTACTAACATTCCATCTGTATATTGTGGTGTTTACATTTGGAGGGGGGGGCATGTCGATGTACAACATTTTCTCATTTTGCATAAATAATAAAAAATCTGTGGAAAAAAACGTAACAGAATTTGTAGCTGTGCACAGTGCACACTCACCAGTATATCTGATAATAGAAACAGATAGTAGAGTCTCTTTTGATTTAGCTGTTCAACTTTCAAGGGGATGTTTGAATAACACCAATAATCATATACATAGAATATCTTCATAATTAGAGAATAGTTGTATGACGTTGAACAGAACAGCCAGCAGGGGGAGCTAGTGCTGTATGCACCATTATGAAGGACTGCAGCTCCATTTCAGGAGCTTAGATTTCAGTCCGTGATTTAGCTAAAACTCTGCAGCATGTGCCTCGTCTAGAGAGGAGGAGCTCCTCTAAATCACATTCCCAATGTGCTGCTGGTTATGGCGGGTCAAGCACTCGGTGAAACTTCACCGTGATAGCCCGACATTGCCTCTTGAGTACATGTTGTACTGTTGGTTAATCCACAACACGCAGAGTGATAGTGGGAAGTCTAGCCAACAGTCAGGATGTACATAAACTCTGAACCAGGGTACTTTCATGTGAAAAAAACAACCACGGTTCTGTTATCTGCAGCAATGGATGGTGCGCCAGGGTCTTAACTTGCAAACTTCCCCAATGTATTTTACCACTTTTACTCATCATGATGACTATCAACCACATGCAGCCTGGCGTCTCTTTAATTCAGGATCAGCACTTGCAAATGCTGAGATAGACTAGTACTGAAAGAAGGTTGACTTTTGTCTTCCCCTCTTCAAAACAGCTGTACAGTCTCTGAATGATAGTGAATCTCTGTTTCTGCTCAGTGCGGTGCCCAGAAGCTCTCCTGCCCTCACTGTGGCCTTGCCTGGCCTGATCTGAGGCCTGTGGGTCTCCCCTGTCAAGGGGTGTCCCCTCCTTTTAGCCTGGTGGTCCTGTTGGTGGTGTTCAGGCCAGCTTCAGGGTGCTGATGGGAAACGGGGGCATGGTCACCATTGTCACAGGGTTGAGCACCGTCTGACCCACCAGCTGCGGGTGGTGGGTCACCATTTGGGTCTGCTTGCCAACTATGGCTGTGGTTGTTTGGCACGGCGCAGAGCCGTTGACCTGAGGGTGGGCGTGGTTCAGGGTGTGGGTGATGTGACCGACCACAGCTGGCTGTGTGACAGCCATTGACTGGGGATAGAGGCCAGGTAGATGCTGGCCCAGGTGAGCCACTGGATGCACTGTGATGTGACCAATGGGCTGGTGTGCAGGGGCTAGGTGAACAGAGGTGGTGGTGGTGGAGGGAGCCAGGTGAGCGATATGCTTCGTACCCCCTCCGTGAATGACGTGGTTGACTGCCTGGATGACTGAGGGGTGGGACACGGAAGCGTGGGCGATAACTGTGGGGTGTATGCTCGGCACAGTCACCATCTGAGTCTGGGTGGGGATCAGAGGCTGAGAGGAGATGGTGGGGTTGCAGGATGTTGTGGCTGTGAATGTGTGAGGGGCTGCAGGCTTGGGCATCATCAGTGGAGGGCTCACTTGCAGTGGCTGGAGCAGGGGTTGGTGCAGAGGGGCTTTGTGCTGGATGGAGATGTGTTGGGTGATGAAGGAGGTAGAGGTGGTGGTTATGGTGGGTGGTGGGGTTGGGATCTGAGCGGGAGTTGCACATTTGTGCAGCTCTGGTTTCATGTTTTGAGGCACAGTGGGTAAGGCAGTCTGTGGTCTAGGTGGAGTCTCATCTTCAAGGTCGTCATCCATAACGTCTTCACCTTCTGTAACAGACAAGTCACTCTGTGTTAAAACAGGATTTTGATTTTACCAGCACCTAAAATTAAATAAGGCAATTTGTTGCTGTAGTATTTTTTTTTGCATATTTGAGCATATATAAAATAATAGAGTCTTCACATAAATACAACAGCAGCCCTGTAGCCCCTCCATTACTTCCACCCTGACTGTCAACCTCACCTGAGGCAGTGGAGGTGGAGGCCTGGTCCTCTTCAGGCTGGACTGTCTGACGGAGCACACGGTCGATCTCAATCACATCCATCCATTGGCTCAGCTCATTCTTCAGCTCTGCTAAGCGCTGCTGCGTGGCGATCTTCTCTCTGGCCAGTCGCTCCATGTCGTGCTCGTACTCCTTCTCTTTCCGCTTCAGCGTCTGAAAGATGATGAGACAAGATTGTGAAGAAGAAAAAAAAAAAAAAAAAGCCCAACTCTTTGCCTTGAGCAGATAGTGTGGGCTGCTGTCGGTAAACACGCATCTGATTACCAGTTCATGAGGTTCACTTCCTGTGAAATTCAATACACCGATCTGGGGATACTTCTTGTCTTTTATAGTTCTGCTGATTGTGTCCAACAGGTGTCGATTCTTCATCATGCTCGTGTTTTAGGCTTTAATCTTTTGTGTTTGACTATGTAATAATTATTTAAGTACATCATTAGTGGTATGTTAAAAAGGTTTGACAGATTATCGAGGCAAAAACAAGATATTAGCAGGACAGCTAGTGTCTGCTGTGATTTATATCAGGCTACAGTCTGGCTCAGTGTCTCCATCTGCTCCACATATGACACAACGATTAAATGACTGCATCAATGCAATCTGTAAATCTCCATCTATGACTGATACAAGAATGGTAATCTGTCAGATTATTTCAAATGTAGGTGGTACAATGGGAAAGCAACAACAAAAAGATGAATTATGGATACTTCTGTTCGGGTTCCAACACAGGACAGGATAGTCACGGAGCAGGTATTTTGACAAAAGGTATTATTAACACATTTAACACACGGCCACCATTTCAACAGCACAAACGCTAAATAATAACGAAGCAGCAGCATCTTTTTCATACAAGAAAATTCTGTATTAAGCATCAGTCAAACAACAAACGAAGCCTAACCTTGTTTTAGCTTAAGTTGGGTAATTCTGTCCTTCTTAAATACCAGAAGATTCATGAGAAACTGTGTACCTGTTGCTATAAATACTAAAGACTTGCACCCTTCATTAATGCCTGTGTGAAAGAATCCAACAAATAATGATTTAAAAATAAACCTGTGACCAGAGGCTGTGTGCAGGGAGCAAACTAACAGAGCTACAAGAGAAGGAGGGAAGGAGGAGGTGGAGGAGGCAAGTATGTGAAAGGGAGGGGCAGGAGGTGCTTCCAGGCAGTAGCCCTCTGTGACCTAATTTCCCTTAAACCGTCAGCTGACACGAGCCAAAACCAAACAAACTGAGCCAAACTTCCTTGTACGCAGCAACAGGGGGAAACTTTAAAGATGTTTGAAAACCATCAACCAAAACTATGAGGAAAAAAACAGAACCTAATAAATAACTGCTGAATTTGGCAGTACAGATCAGATCGATTTAACTCGGTTAGAGCTTAGTGTTTTGAAGTTGTGTACTACGTAATTTTATTTTTTACATTTTAAGTTTGTATTGCACAAATTCAACAGCTTAAATAAAGCCTTGGGTGGGCTATCGGGAAATGACAATGTGTGAAACCTGTAACCAGCAACCTGATGACTCAGGGTCATAAAGAGTGGACTTCCTGTTAGTGTTCATGCCTCCGTGTATTAGTTTCTGTGAGGGGAGGTGTGTGTGTGTGTGTGTGTGTGTGTGTGTGTGTGTGTGTGTGTGTGTGTGTGTGTGTGTGTGTGTGTGTGTATATACACACACACACACACACACACACACACACACACACACTATACACATATAATATATATGTGTGTGTGTGTGAGTGAGAGGGACAGAGAGAGTTAAAAGTAAATGTGGATGTCATTGTGTTTGTCGACTGGGGATTTAAAGGCTTGATCACGTATGTAGCTGAAGTGTTGTTTATTATTTGTATGTAGATAAGACTTCTGTTAGCGGGAACTGTGCTTGTATAACTACTGTACAAATGTATATAAATAGCAAAGGGGACAAAAGGCGGGCCTTGTGTAATTCGGCACCTGTCTCTGGTCCTTATCCAGGATTAGAAATGCATGGGCCAAGCAGTCTGTGCCCGGACTCTGTCCCATGTGGGCTGATTTCAGTTCCCTTGCACACACAAATACAAACTGAGAGGAAGTCCTGCGCATGTCTGAGTTTGGCAGAGGAAAGATATGAAAAGAACACAATTAATCCTAAACAAATCCACATAAATGAGCTTTTAATCTGGTTATTAAACTGAAGAGTTCTGCTTTGATTACACGCAAATACTGATCAAAATCCAATAATGAAATATCAGCGGAAAGTTTTCTTCACACACACAGCAGTAACTTTCCACATTTCACTTAAATCATGTTACTGTATGACCCATACGTGTCGCGTGATATGGGTAATCTTAACTCTCTCTTCAATACCTTTAATTCGAACCTAATCAATACTTTGGTTGGATGATGTAATAGGGCTGATATTAGACCATCTCAGAAACATAGCTGTAATGTATGTTTAACAGGTATCAACCGTTATGCTAGTACAACATCTGTGTACATATTTTATCATACATCATACATTTGTTTAGAAAATTAGTTTGTTAGTGTATAATGCACAATCCTAATAAAAAGGTCTCCCTTCATGCCAGCCCCCAAAAATCACTTTTTCTCTCTTATATTGGTATACCATACATATCATTCGGAATCAAACTGTGTTGTTTATGACAACCACACCCCACCCCACACACAAACACATACAGTGGTCGAGAGCTTCTGGAAAACCACAAAGTTCAAACAATGACGTCATTGTATTCGACAGCCTTTGAAAGCAGAGAAATCTAATATTATGGAAATAGGTTTTGATCTAGAGCTTGATGAGCTTGTTGCTGATGAATGGAAACCATGTGCACTTTAACATGCACTCATAGACATCTGGACACAGATATGTAACACCAGCCATCAACAGCCACTCCGCCAATCAGTGAAGCTGCTGATTTGTGTTCCTCAGTCTGAATACACCAACAGTATCCATAGTCTCCACTCACGATGTACTGAAATGCCCCTGTCTTTGGTCGTCATGGAAACAGCTGAAAAACCTTCTTAAGGTTCTTTGTGACCCAAACGACCGCGCACTCCTTTATGTTCCCGTTCTGTGTAATTTTCCCTGGAAGCATTTAAGTATGTACTGCAGAGTTCTGAAACTCAACCTGGTTGTAATCATGAGAAAGATTTTCCACCTGCATGGAGATTTGACTTTCTGATACACAAACAAGCACACTTATGTCATCACCTGTCTGTCTCAAAAGGATTGTCTGAAAGGCAGAAATCAGGGAATGAAGAGTGAACAGAATATGTGATACGTGGACTGTAATGGTTGGCTGTCTCCCTGTTACCCTCGCCGTTTAGCCAGCAGCCTTTACGTGAGTGGAACCACAACTGTGCATGCCTCCAACTATGACTCATGGGGATGGAAAAGGCTCCACAAAATCAGGAGCACACTGAACTCTAATGGTACACGGAGCATGTCTCTTTATAGACAGCTAGTCTCCGATTAACCAGGAAAACCTGATTGTTGAGTACATCACAGATGGATCCTGCATTACTTCATCAGCCTGTTAATCATGTCAGCAGGTTGGTAGGACGCAAGGTGCCAAGTACCTTTTGTTTCCCCCGCGCATGCCCCCCGCCTCAGTCTCGTTTGCATGTGAAAATCTGGATCAGTACAGGCCTCGGCTGCATTGTGTGTGTGTGTGTGTGTGTGTGTGTGTGTGCGCCGCACGCACAAGGTAAACACCGCTCAAGCGCTGTCACAAGCAATGCGAGTGCCGAGCACATGGCCCCACAGAGAATGAGAGAGGGGGGGGGGCGGCAGATAGCGGGGGATTGAAAGAGAGCAATACAAGCTGTACTCACTGACTCATTTCTGCAGCAGACGGCACAAGGCTGGGTTTTTTAAAGGGCCAGATACACAGGAGGCCACGTTGCAGACATGCTGCCTGGCCTGGTTCACTGATCAGGCTTCTTTAAGGAGGTCTTGTGACAGTCTCGTAACCATAAACCCTTGTCTCACAGTGCCTTCAAGCTGGAACCGTAAACCTCACATGGTGCCTCATTGCAACAATAAAAGGCCTGTCTTTGTATGAATATATTCCACTTCTATAACATTTCTGTGTGCAAACCTGTGCTGGTAATAAGTGACCTAATTTTACCTCATTGTGGCTGAGGACTGGCTGACCAAGCTTCTGTACATGACGTCCACAGTGTGACATGATATAGCCGTTTCATTCCCTGTAAATCACCTGAGCAGAAAAATATATTTCCCCCCCCCAGAAAATTGTAATTTTCCTGGAGAAAGATTCTTATACTAGTACAGCAGATGTAAGTCAATGAATTTGAATTCAGTCTTGCCTCAGACCAATAAAAGAGGAAAGTGTCAATGAGAATTCAAAGAGACTGAGCTGGGACCTGCTGAAATAAACCTTAAAACTCGAAAGTCTGATTATCTTTCATGTTGAAGGCTGAATGAATCCGAAAATGTCAAAGCAATCAATGCAACTCCTTTTTTGTTCGAAGGCAATTCTTACGAGGTTTGATAATTTATGCCAAGTTAAATGTCATTTATTTGAAATGCTTAAACATATATCCTACTTCCTCAGCCTCTCTAATTAAATCTTTCATAAGCAGTGGAGGAACAACTTCCGTCGGCTTTGGAGGGGGAACTGAAGCGCGAGAGGAGTAAACCGAGCCTAATGTTTACCGCTCAATGTTCCCTCCCTGCTGCTGGCAGCTAAGCCCAATGTTACGACGAGTCCTGCGTGTTGCAGTGTTGGGCGGAGGCCCAGCACGGGGGATGACGTCACGCGGCTCAGGCTAGCCATGTGCTTGCTGCTCATGTGGCCTTAAAAGCTCAGGATGGAGGGAGGAGAGGAGGGGGGGGAGCAGAGAGGAGGAGCTCTGATGCACCAGGGCTTACTTTGCAGCCTTTGCTTTCTTAGCAACACTGTGGGCTTCAGGGAGATCCTTTAGAAACGAGATATGGTTCATATAAATGTTATAGCCCTGTTTACATGAAGACAAAAAATGAAAAAGAGCAAAGTAAGCTTTTTATAAGCGTGTTCAAGGTCGTGTTTACTGCGACGTTTTAAACTGAACTGGAACGAGGAAGTGAAACTTGAACTACAAGCCTGTGACTTTCTATGTAAAAACGATTTAAAAAAACAACTATAACATATACTTTTCACATTGACACAGACAACAGTCTAGATAAATCAAATCATATGGGATGCTGAGTCTAAAGCCTCTTGTTTGATCCTCTCCTGAGCTCATTTTTGTTGATGTGTGCAGGCTGCCTCTGGAGGGGGGGCAGAGGGAGGAGGCAGTTTTCAGGGAGAGAGAGGCGTGTGCAGGCAGGACATGCCTCTGTACCACCCATGTCAAGATGACAGCGTGTTCACATGTTTTTTTGTTCTGTTTTAGCCTCCTTTAACCTTTAAGTTCCCTTTTTTTAACCACACCCCTCCTTAAACTAAACAACCAGCCAGACCAGTCAAAGATTAAGACAAAGAGGAATGCAAGACAAAACTTACAAACAAAAGATTAACTCATCTGACCTACAGTAGAAGACCTACAGACCTACAGTAGAAGCTCTGAATGTGATGCATCTAGCTTCACCCCATGAGGATTTGCAGTTGACACTTTGTGAGAAAGATGGTTATTCTTCTCCTCGTCTGCAGTTAGTAGCTCTAGGTCTAGCCCAACTGTTGAGAGGCAGGTCAGTCAGCCAGTTGCAGGCAGCACACTGAGCACTGTGTTACTTAATCACACAGAGAGGGGGCAGAGGGAGGGAGATTGGGTGATGAGCTCTGCACCCACGTTGTCCTAGTTTCCACACGCACTGAGGAACAACAAGACTGCTGCTGCTGCTGCTCAATGCACTGAATCAGCAGCACACCGTCCTCAGCAACATTTACACGAGTAAGCCTTCAACGCAGCTATATCATGACAAAACAGATGAACTATAACAGGTTGTTTCATACGGAGATATCAATGTGCACATTGAATTAGAGCATAGGCTAACGTGCATAGTTGTCTGACTTCAAACTCCGACCCATATGATGACACATTCAAATACAAAAGAAAGAAGAAAAAAAAAATCTGCTAGGAAGCTGGAAAATAATGAAATTAATCTCCGCACAATAACACCAAAATACTTCTTAGATTGCAACACCTTGGTCCAGGTTGAACTTTATGTTTAAAGCTGCCACCCTACAGTATCTATCTATAGGATAAAAAAAATGACCCGCTGTGACACGCTCAACAGTCGGACAAGTCAAACTAGGTCAGTGGTGGACCTTTGCACCAGCTGTTTACAACCACCACATTCACTCAGCAAGTGCCTGACTCAAGCACATGGTGAGACAGTTGTGGACATGGCAGATATTCCTAATATTAATCATAGAGTCGCTTAAAGATTAGATGAAGAAGTTTCCTCAGGAGAGGAGGGTCAAAACTCCTCTGCTAAAGCTCCATTTCTATACTTTTTTGAAAATAAAATAGATTTTATGTGCCAGAGAAAAGGCTTATTTCTCTTGCATTTGTTTAATCAGTTAGTACATTCCTGTGTTTTCTGCGTCATATGCAAGCTCTTTCAACGTTTGAACATGCTTCTGTTGTATGCATTTCCTCTTGAACCCTTTTCTCACACTGCAGCATGGCAACATAAGAATGGATGTTCAGTGGTTCAGCAGTTATCCCATGTGCCAATGAATCTGTATAAACAAGTTGTAGCAAGATTCACAAGCATGCATGACAAATGCAGCACACACGCCAAAGTCAGCAGACTGATAATAATTGCTCCTCAATTAGGAGACGATTTGGTTTGCAGGCCTTGCCAAACATATAGCAAACACTTTGTAATAAAGTACAGTGTTTCTGTTGGTTTGCAGCTTTGGGGGGGGGGGGAGGTGCGGGCAGACGGACGCCGACACAAACACTTGAAGGAATCTTGGTGTTCATGCGTTACTTTTAATGACAAGTCCTGTTCTATCGGAAAGGTATCCTTAAATGACTTCTTTCCCTGATTTCCGACTCTATCCACTATCCTCTCTCTACAATAAAGGCACAAAAATTAACTTGACCTTCAAGGGGGAGGAGGTGGTCCGTTGGGGGGGACGGGCCACCCCCCTAATATAATGGTAGGGGAAACACTGAAAGTATGCTCCCCAGCTCCCAATTACCCCAGCATTAACGCACATCTTCACAGCCTGAGCAACTTGCATTACAAAAAGGAATGACAAGTAGTTTGAGCGCTGGCCTAAATGGTGAAACTGGCTGATGCACAGTGCTATTCTCCCCATCAGACATATAACTACATGTCATATCACTCACACATGAAGTGATTAAGACTTGTTCAAACCCAGCAGCTCACCTGAATGTATCTCAGTGCACTTCTCAGCACACACAGATTGGACGTCTTCTTCTCGTCTATGTTCGGGATGTTTTTCTTCAGCGTCTCGAAGCACTCCTTTAAGTGTGCTCGTCTATTGGACACAAGACACAGACGGGGGATTTTAGACGGGACAAATGGTAGAGCCCCACTAGGCTTTAATCTTGTGATTACAACAACACAATTTCAACAAAGAAAAAAGCTTCGCAAACAAAGAAAAAGTACTGTGACTAATCAAAAAAAGAATCGATCAGTTTAAGAATAAACTTAAACCTTTCACATAGAAACCATATGAACAATATGACATTACTTTGTGTGATGGTACACTATCGGATCTCTCACTGTGTAAGGAGGCCCTATGGTAGACAGGCTGAACCCACCTGTTTTTCTCAAGCTTGTTATGCACCTCTCTTGTGCCTGCCCTGTAAGAGCACAAACGAGAGCACAGTAAGAATTTGGTGTCAAAAAGGGCAGTGTGAAGAGAAGACTCAACATAAACAAAAGAAGAGTTGGATTACTTTGTTGCCTGCAGTTAATTTAGTGACAGCACTCTTCTGTGCATCTCCAATATAAAGTAACACTAAAGTTAAAGAACTTATAAAATAGCCTGACAATGTTAAATATTGGGGTTTAGGAAGCTAAAAAAAAACTTGTGAATCCTTTAAGATGGATACATCTTTTGCAAAAAAAAGAAATCTTTATGACTATTTTGATTCTAAACAAGCAAATGTGTTTACACTCACCCTCCAGGCCTCTTCTTGTTGTCTAGCTGGCGGCCGTCATCAGGAGGACTCCCCCGGCTGATGGGGCCGTTCTGTAGAGGAGCCTGCTGGAGCACAGGGCCCAGCTGGGGGAGTAAGGCGTGTTGCTGTGGGGGTGAGACGATGGAGCCAGAATAGCGCTGAACCAGCTGAGGGTGCGTCTGCTTCTGTAGTTTAGTATTGCTGATCGGTGCGATGATTTGCGGCTGTTGGAGGTGGTTCTGTATCACCTTGTGGTTGTTGGTTGGCGCAGAGGGCGGGTGGTCAGGTTTGGGTTGTGGAGAGCGTGGCAGAGTGGCAGCGGGTGGGGGAGCTGCAGGAGGGGAGAGTGTTGCGATAGGCTGGGTGGGTGAGCCTGTGGGATTGGGGGTGACAACAGGGATGGGTATGACAGTGATGGGCATGGAGGGTGGCGGCAGAGAGGGCGGTATGGGTGCCTGGTGGCACTCAATGCGGAACTCGTCTGCTTTGGAAACATGGTTGGTGTGGATTGTTGTGTTATAGTTCACATCAGAACGCCTTTGCTCTGCCAACAGCTCCAGCCGCTGCTTCTCCTTCAGTTCATCCTCTGTGGACAGAACGGAGGCGGGTTAACAGAAACAGCTTAAGAGTTTCCTCTAGTACACACTTCAGGTACCGGGATAGTCTCCTGCTGTAAGGTGCATGTGTGAACAACCAGATCAGCAAGATTTCAGGGGACTATCCTCCAGAATTCCTCTAGATATTTTGTAGGAGGTCACACGTGAATGCGATATATAGATTTAAAAGTATAGTTTTTACATTTACAAACTTCTATCAAGCCCAATGCTCCAGAATGAAATAGATTCTAGTTCTAATAGAGATGCTGTATATCCTGCTGTAATGTCACCCAGCCACAGTCTACTGACCCCATTGTGCAGTAGAAGTGGGTGCAGGTCTACTCTACTCCTGCAGAAAAAGAGACGCCACGATGAGGGAACCCTTACCCCCCCATCTTTAATGTGTGTGTTTGATGATGGCTTTAGTTAACGTTTTATGTAACAATAGCCAGGATACAAATACCTGAAAGTTTTTAAGAGTAAAATACAAACATGTTTGGGAAGTAAACTGCTAGTGGAGATAACTCCTGATAAGATCGTTCTGTTGTTACAGTTTATGTGTGAAAGTGCAATATTTTGACAAAAAAAGGTTCTTCATCAGCTTTGTCTTACTATCCATTCATATTAAAGGAAACCCCTCCATTAAGGTGCTGTCATGTTTCTATGTCAGCAGTGATGTTCAGAGTTAGAAGTTATTATTAGTATGAGATGGACCAGGGTCTGAACACTGCTCCTTTCACTACAGCGCTACACTAGACGATGTAATTACATGTCAAGAGGTTAATTATAAAGCAACTGAAAATGCCATAATATTATTTAAATTATAGGCAAATGAAAGCATGCACACTTAAAAGTTTGTTCGCAATAAACAAGATTTGATAGAAAATACGTCGTTAAGAATAAGTGTGACTGAGAGGTGTAGGCCGAAAAAACGTTAGTCTTAAGTTAGGGTGAACCTTTTTGTGATAATACACTTATATATGTGACCGATACTGCTAAAAAAGTTCCATCAAAAGTGAAATTTCTGTTTGAAACTAAGCATTTTGAAATATCCGAGTCCCTCACTGGTAATAATGTACCGTAAAAGTCTAGCAGTTAAGAAGTTCAAAGTTTAGGAACTTAATAGCCCTGTTAGCTCAAACATAAATACACAAGCACATGAACACACACAATCAAAGCCTGGGGGCAGTTATATTTTGTGAGCATGTAAAAATCATGTGAAAGAGGAAGTAGACATTTCCACTGCATGAAAACAGTTAAATAGTATCACATCCAACAGTTAGGTCTTTCACTTTCTGCTGTGTGTATTTGTGACGCTGCAGTGGCATTACTTTGCCTCAAAGTCAAAACAAGTAGAAAAGAACAAGATGTTCTGGCCGCTGTGCTATGCAGCTTTTGTTAGATGCTGAATGCCACATTATAAGAGATCATTTAGCATTGTGGTGCCGACACACACATAAGGCCGAGGAGAGTCTTTTATAAAGACTCACTTATAACACTTATAAAAACAAGAGGGTTTTCTATAGACGTTATATAACTGCAGCAGCACACAGAAACACTGGCCTACTTTCTGCACAGTGACCTGCTCTACAGTAGCAGGAAGGAGGGAGGGAGGGAGGGAGGGAGGGAGGGGGTGAGGGAGAGGGGAGGACTCTGCTCTCTCAATGCAGCATGGCACGAGGAGCTGGGAGAGGGAGAGGCAGGAACTCTCACTCCGAGTCGCTCGGAATATCACTGATGCTGTCATTCAGATAAAGGTGAAAAACAACTGCCCTCTTCAGAGACTGTTAAATCGCTGGGTGCAAACACTTGTTAAGATGTTAAGGATGTTTTTATACGAGCTAGCTCATACAGCTCTCGCATTTATAATGTACTAAACTAGTAGTTGTCTTGGAGAGTGATCAGTTAAGAAAATTGTATCTTTAACTGATTTCATACTTTTGCAGACATTGAAGATTGGTTATGGGTTAGTCCACGCTCAAGCAGTCAAATGTGAAGCTACAACATTATCTTTACAGTCAAGCTGGAGTATTAATAACTTCACTTTCTAGGGATTGATTAACAACCTTTACACTAAACCACTGTTATCGTCTTGTGTTAACTGGAAACGGGGTGGTTTAATTCAAATTGAAAATGACAACATGTTATAGAACATTACTAATACCAAGGTAGCCCATTTGGCAGACAGCCACATACTGAGACGACGTTGATGACAGATTACACTCTATGTTTAAAAGGTGTTTATTGTTCATGGATGTAAGACAGTCGAAGTATGTGTTCTGTCTTATAGTTTAGCTTTCCATTAATCACTGTAGGCCTACTTAAAAAAGAAATCACTGCTGTATTGTAAAAAATAAACATAGGGAAAGTGGAAAGATGCACATATTTGGAAACCATAAAATTTAACTGGGAATAACACGTTGTTGTAATAAATTATTCAATTAAATGTTTTTATTCTTATTAGTTTTGATTGTGGAAAAAAAAAAACACTGATAATGTGTTTTATGTTTTTTTCCTTTTTTGGACATATAACACACAAGTGAGTTTTTGGTAGATTTTCTGCGCGCGGTAGTGACTCATCTTCTTCATAAACAATCTTTGGAAGGGGTAGCCCGGGCACGCACGTGGTGAAAGGGGCGGGGCCCGACCCCCCTCGGTGGCTCTTACATGTAGGCGCGGCTGGTTGGTACACGTCATCGACAGACATTCAAAGCTCCACGAGCGTCTGAGAAGGCGAGGGAGTAAATTTTTTTTTTTTTTTTAAAGACACAAACACGGACTGAAACATGAAGGAACACGGTGTTTTTAAAACTACAAAACGTCGTGCGAAGATGCAGGGTGTGAAATTATTGAGCACAGGTAGATGTAGGGGGGGGGAAGCCTGATTAACAGATGCCCCGCAGACGATGTCAGGTCATTATGTAAAACAAGCTTGGCTTTCTCTGCGCCACCGCCCTTTACAACCCCCCCCCCCCTCTCCTCCTCCTCCTCCTCCCTCCTTCACCCCATGTTTTTTTTGTTTTGTTGCACTTAAATGTTTGGTAGCAGTGCGATGAATAAACTGACCAGCAATAGAAGGACAAATGAACCTCAATGATGTTGTTTACGTATCTGTATCTACTGCAGGTTTCAATGCAGTAACCCCTGATACCGCAGAGCCCCTGTGTGTGTGTTTATAAGCTCCTGTGACCAGCTGCGATTTAGGTTAAGATACAGTAACACCGAAGAGTCGATACTATTCTGCAATGCGTCTGCACATACAAATGAATTTTGAAGTAAAACTAAAAATGTCACTGCCGCACTTAACCACAGTCATTCTTGTAGTTTTAATATTTAATTCAACAGCAAAAATCTGGTGATTTTCAAAGTCTAAGAAAGCTTTAAATCCTGCACTGTATTTAGTTCATGACTGGTTAAACCTGGTTCTTCTTTAACTCGGTACTTTTTTTCTCCACTTAGCTGTTGAGTGTTTCACATGTAGTATTTCATCGTTGCCACCGCTGTTGAGAAATAAATCTTATTTTTTATAATAAAATACCAACTTACCACGTGCTTTCTGTTGTTGCTGGGCTTGCAATTCCAAAAACTTGGCTGCTTCAAGAAGCGTTTCGATGCTCATTTCTGTCCAGTTAGAATGACCGTGGCTTTATTTTTTATTTATTTTTTTGTCAAGAGACAGACGATAAAGCAAAATGTGCCTGAGCACTACGGAAGAGAGAGAGAGAGGTTCCCAGTGTTTCAAAAAAAAAAAAAAAAAGGCTGGAAAAATGGAAATCGGATACCCCCCTCTGTAGAAACTCTACCACTTACGTAGGAGAGTTACAAACAAGATGGCGCTCAAAGTAGTGGGAACAAATAAGGTTTGTGAATCACGCAGCGTTTGTAGCCGCCCACAGACCCACACGCTCCCCTCCCATGCTCACCAGCGAGAAAACAACAAAACACGGACAAATAACCCGGATGGGATGAATACCTGTGACACGAACCGAAGCACGTTCGCGAGCTGAGTCACGTCCGCCAGGGTTGTAAAAAAAAAAAAACTGGTCACTGACTCGCATATCAATAAAAATCTATTGGTTTTCATTTTAGAAAAATAAATTGGTTTTCATTTTAGAAAAACAAATTGGTTTTCATTTTAGAAAAATAAATCCCCTAAAAACATCGAGCGCATTTCGGTCTTTTGTGTGTTGCTTGCTTAATATTCACAGTCTATGTTTGCTTATCGTACACATTCAACAGTGTGAAGCTGCAGGAAAGACCCCCAATACAATAATGCTCATTTATTGTTACAAATAGCGTTTTTCATAAATTGCATTTCATCGTTTTCCTCCCCTTTAGTCATATTTATGTGTGCCTGTTGCTTTCGGAAATAGGTTTAGAAACGCAACGGGCTTTTCTTTTTCTACCTATGATGTTTGAATTATTATTTACAGTCTATGGTTTGAATCTAATACTTGTTGTTGCTTCGTGCCTGTTGATGTCACCGACAATGGCCGCAAATTACTAGTAACCATGACTGCGGAACATTTACATTTCACTGATGTGTTGTTGTTCTTCACGCTGATTGGTGGATAACAATGCAATGCACACATGGATACAGGCAGTGTTGTGTGCTGCATCTACCTCACTCGAGACGCAGGTATTTCAGGTGAGACGAATAGGGATGAATCGGAAATAGTTTCATAACGATGTAAAACAAAATCTCAGCCTTGTGTTTTGTGGATTGGTTTTGTGTATGAGGGTCTAATATCCAACTAAGAACATGCCCTTAGCTGCTACTATTTACTTTTGCCTTCATACATTAGGACACTTTTGAGAAATAGTTGTTTCCCCATTAGTGAAGAGTAACTTTTGTACTGAATAAGGTGTCAAAATATAACATAAGTTCCTCTTTGTTAAAATCCCTGGGGAGACATTAAGCTGCAACATGAAAATGATGAACATATATTGCTGCAACAATAATCAACTTTCAGTAATATATGTTTTATATAATGGTCCATTTTCAATAGTAGATTATATCTTGCACTTTTAATTTTGACATCTGTCCATGAATGCCGGCCATAAGTCCTGTGTGAATTACAAGCCTATGCATTCGAGTATAACAGAATGTAAACCTTATTAATGAAGTATGGATAAAATAAAAAAATAAAAAAGTTACAATATATTCTAATCAACTAGATATATGAGGGGGAATTCAGATAACAATAGACAAACCCTAACCCTGCTACCATACTGCATTGTGTTCATTTTAAGGCCTCAACAAACAAATATTTTCAGTAGTGATTGCTACATCTTCTATAGTTTTCTGATAATGAATAATCCTTTATTCTATAAAATGCAAAGGTGATGACTCAACATTATTATCTTTTGTCCAACTAATAATCAGAAGCATTAAAACAACTTATTTACAATCTCACAATCTTTTAAACAACAGCTGATTGTTGAAGGTGCTGGTAGTGAATGTGTGGAATACTTGTCTGAGTAATTACATGGAGTAATACATTAGTCACTTACTTTATTAATCATTTAGTTATTATACCCGGGGTCAATTCATTCATCTAATTAAAATGGGCCCATAGTTACAGCAATGGCAGGACTGAGTTATACGTCCAGAGTCTACACATGAAGGGGGAACTGACACATTAGAGATGGAGAAAATGCAGACACCATCAAAATCTTGAAAAAGGACCTTAAGTCTACAACCTCAGTGGGCTTACTCAACTAAAGACCACTTCATGTCTGCTTTAACATCACTATGACTCTCACTCTCAAGAGGCCGCTGGATTCAAAGTCCTGCCACAACCAGGATCATAAAGAATACATACCGACAATTATTGTGAATGTGTACCCACACTGCTCTGGTTATTCAAGTCTCTTTTCCTGTTATTTACTCAGCTCAGATCAGGAAGTATTTGGTCTACAACAGAGAAACAACACTGGAAACATTATTTAAAGTTCTTCAGACACAGGAAACACCGGAGTAGCTCCAGGAACATTCTGAATTATGAAGTGTGTGTAAACTTACATGGTAAAACTACTGTTTTACAAATTTGGTGTTGACTTGTCATTCATTATCAAAAATGTTTATAATAGAGTTGAATCTCATCTCTAAATTCAAAGGGCTAAAAGGAGGAAATGTCTCTCTCAGAAGAAACACAAACCCTGCCTCCTTGTGGCCGTTCAAAGGTACTGCCTTACTTATAAACACAACAGACAAAAAAAAATGCTTCGTTGAGGATAAAAGATACATCATGAAGTAGCAGACATGGTGTAAAAAAAGTGAATTTATTGCAAATATTTGAGCACTGAACACTAATGTACATTACGCACTACCTTAAAAGGTAAAGTGTACAAGTACTTGGGAATAAGGCGACTACACTAATTGCAACGTAACATGTTCCTCCTCAGGAACAAACCTCCAGATGTTTATTAAACACTTTGAATTTCAAACAGCTGTGGAGACATGCACATAAGAAGTTAACTGTCCAAAAATAAACTTTCAACTGAGAGGCACTCAATAAATATGACTAAAAATAATGTGTTCTGTCATTTTAGTGCTCAATAAACCGTTTCTTTCTTTTTCTTTATTTCAATGGACCCGTTTTTCCTGATCATTCAGCACTTTCCAACGGACTTTAAAAGTGTGTTCTTCAGGTAGGTGCACAGTTGGTTCATCAGGTCTTTGTTCTGACCTTCGACCCAGTGCATCTCAACCACAACATCCCTCTCCTCGGGCAATACATTGAGCAGACACTTAAACAGGAAGTGTTTAACTGCAGCGGGGCTCAGAGGTCGCTCCGAGGGCGGCTCACTTGCTGCAGCAGGCGTTTCCTTTGGGACAGCTTCCTGTCCTGCTTCCATGGAGGACTCCATGTCCACATCTCCACCTGATATACTTTCTAACACCTCCTTTTGTTCTCCAGCTGGGGCGTGTGTTACATCCTTACTTGTCTCCTCTGCAGAGGCACAGCTGCTGTGCGTGTTGTCGCAAGACTGGTTTTGAGATGATGGAGTTGTGGTGGTAGTAGCTGTGGCCTTAGTGGTTTGAGAGCTGGTGGTTCCAGCAGACTGAGGGGCTCTGGGAAGCTCTCGCAGCTGACGTGCTCCCTCACGTCGTTTCTGACGCCCGTGGATCCATGTGTTCTCCACAGCTGTTAGCAAGAGACTCTGCTCCTGTTTTGTGCAGGGGACATGTTTGTGTAGCACCTGAGGATACAACACAATCCAAAACATAAGGAAGTCTATTGGAGATTTACTTTGATTTAACTCGTGCTGAAGAAAAATCTGACAAGGAAAATGTTACATTTTTTTGCTGAGACCAACAGTAAGATCTGAGGCTGTGGTTTATGGTTTTGACTTGATTACGTTACATTTTTCCCACAAATTCCCAGTTTATACTCTCCTTGCATTTTGGAAAAATGTACACTAAAAAATAAAGCTAACCCATAAATTGGATTGGATTATTTAAATGCATTTTAGTGCTAAATGTGAACAGGGATGGTTTTAAAGAGCAAACGTGACCAATATTTAAACCTCAAAATCAAAAAGTTGATTTAAAATATCTGAACACTAGTAATAGTTCAGGTGTTCAACCTTGGCAGCGGTGAAACTCTCATAACCGTGATATAGCTCACCCGCAGGTCAGTGAGTGTTTTCTCCAGCAGAGCAGTGATGCTGTCCACAGGGCTGCGGGCTTTGCGGCCAGAAGCAGAAGCCTTGGTCTGGAGCTCCTTCACCCCAGCCTCTGGAAGCGTGAACGACAGAGGCTTCTTCGCCTTCTCCAGTTTACGCTTCTTATTGGGAGGAGACTGAGGGAGGTAAGGAGGGAGACCAGAAGTATATTAACCAACCGATTGTGAAATAGAGTAAACAGCACATAGAAAATGAGCAGAAAAAGAAGCCCCGCTCAGGTGCCAAAGGTTCCTGTAGTATTAGAGTCAACACGTTTGATAAGAGCCACTCTGAAATATACATGAAAAGTAATTACTCGAGATAAATGACAAATGAAAATAGATGAATATGTGTGTTCCAGCCAATGAAGGCACAGTTTGACATGCTGACGATTTGTACTCAGCGATATCTGCTGTGTTAACTCAAAGCTCTGTTCATTACATGTTGTTCTTACCTATCTGTTTTTTGTTGTTGTTTACTTTCCCTCTTCATTCATCTCATACTTTAGCTATGTCGTAGCTGTGCCTTGTTAACTGTAATATGTTCTTCACTCGGGAACAGTTTTTCTTTTATTCTGCTGTTGTTTAGTTAATTAATGGGGCCCAATGACCTGAAATAACTGATTAAAAAATAAGTCAGAACCCAAGGTGTTGTTTTGACCTTGACGTTCCACATCAGATGCCAGACTTGGCATCCGTGATAGGTAGCAGTCCAAAAATAACCACAATGTCAACAACAAGGCTGCCAACAGAGGGCAGTGAAGTGTTGCTGTTCACATACAGTTTAAAAGAACAGATTCAATCAAACTACTCGAGCAAGTCCATTGTCTCATATCTGTGAAGATCCAGAACCACAAATAGGACTCAGACCCAGCGAATGAATCATGCTTTAGTAGGTCAGAGCTGTGTTTACAGAATGAGGTGGACCTAGATAATATGAAGAAATTGAAATGAATATTCTGGCTAAAAAATGGATATATACCTATAGATGATGCCTCAGAAATACAAGAACCACAGTTGCAATCCAGTCACTAACCTGTTATTTACCTCGATAGTATGCATGTTTGTGTTGTCTCAATTCCCCCTCTATTATCAGTTATTATGATAATTACAGTAAAACTGTAAGAAGTGTGTGTGTGTGTGTGTGTGTTTATTACATGTTCTTCACACACCACAAGAGGGCACTCAAACCAAGCACACCCCCTGAACCTGCAGTGAATTTAACACGTTTATTTCTAATCCCCTCTAATGTCATGCTGTGATGGCGGTGGAGGTCGTTACTGAACTGCGTGTGAATATAACAGACGCTCTGCTGCTGCAGTCGTCCCCTACGCCTTCACTGCAGCCAACATGTCCACGCTGCACTACCAGAGTCACTGCAGAGTGACTGAGAGAGGAGAGATGGGGGGGGGGGTCTGCAGCCCCTCACTGTGCTGTGAGGGAGCAGACAGCATGGCCGACTGACCTACTAAGAGCAGAGGGAAGGAGCACGCTGTGACCTTCACACTGCTGCACTGATCCGACACAAGTTTTCATTACTCAATCATTTTATGGCATCGGAGGACACGGTATTCTTTTAAAAATATATAGTTTGCACGATGACTACATTTGCATCTCTCCTGCATCCGCTTTATCTTGAGAGAAAGCGACACCTTCGCGTCCTGTAAAAGCTTTTTCTGCCTTGATCATGTATTGATTATGGGTTAACTGTAGGTCCCTTTAGATGCATGTTCAATGAGATGAAGATATTTAATTAACGGGTGGACAATAGAAGCTGCCATGTCCGACTTCTTGTTAGAGCTTTTTTTTTTCCCCATATCTTTTTGTTCCTCACAGACGTCTCTCCCCCTTTCTCCTCCACCCTCCGCAGCCCTGCAGCTCATTGTACGAGGAGAGGAAATCAATAAAATCCATCAAGCCAAACCTGTCTGATTGTACGCAGCATCCTTGACACAGATTCAAGCAATAACACATCAGTATATGAACACACAAACACACACTCAACTAACAAATAAACAAACTGAATTCCACAGACAAAGAGCTTTAAAACCACATTTTACATATACACACACACGCACACACGCACACACACAGCTCTTCACTCAACGACATCCTCTTCTGACTCGGCTGCTCTTTCACTCCATTATTAATCTCACTTACACACTCTCACCTCAGAGCATGCTCTCTCACAAAAACAGCAGCACACACACACAAACACACACACATGATGCGGGTAAATGGCATCCTCACAATAAAAGCCTTGCCTCATTTTGAAAACTAGCCACAGTAAAAGCCTGAAGTCTGATAAGAGCTGCTTTCCCCGGATATAATGTCATTCAATCATCCATCTTGACCTCCTGAGCACACACACACACACACACACACACACACACACACACACACACAGGTCAACACAAAGTGTGTCATATAGAGAGATAGAGAAACAAAATGTTGCAGATCCCCTTCAGGCAAACATTGTTAATCATACTCCTGAGCCCTAAAAACCCAGCATGGACTCCTGAAAACGGGACCTTTGTGACCCTCCTCCTGCCAGGGGCCTGTATGAGCAACTACAGGCCCGGGGCTCAACGAAAACCTGCCAGTCTTCAGCATTTATTCCGTCTGTTACTCCTTTTATCTGTATCTGTTCATATCTCACTGTCCACACTCTCCATCTTTCTATTATTTTTATTCTGGATTTTATCTTTTTAAATCTGGTGTCTACAATACCCATAATGCATTTGGGCGATATGCTAGTAATGATTAAATACATTTAATAAAGTATAATAAATAATAATAATAAATAAAATATGTTAAAAAAAAAGTGAACCAGTGATTTTAGGGTTTAAATGTCCTTAAATTTGACTTTTCTCTTAAAACCACTGCTGCAGGGCAGGTGTCAGATGAAGTCATTAACAGCACCCTGGCCAACTGCTTTTCTTTACATTTCCCGGGGCAAATATTCTTCATGATGGATACAGCGATGCATACAGGATGGACCCGTTGCAGAAATTTTAGTGTAAAATTTGACATATTGTATCTTTATGACAATGACTTCCTGTATGAGACATGTCAGCATTGTGAATCTTGAGATTCATACTGTTAAAGAAATGTGTCACCAGTCCAAACATTTAAAACAGACCAGGGTAAAAGTAAGGTTATGATGGTAATCGTGGTTTTAAGGGCTGACCTGGTAATATGAGAGTTTAGTAGGTCACTGTTGCATGCATGTCACATACGGTAAGTCTATATGTAACTTTAATGAGCTATCACTTATATATACTATACATACAGATGCACCAGACATCCATAGGAACACACGCATGCCAGCAGAATGAGGATGTCAACCATGCATGGAATTACAGATGCAGAACTTCTGTCATGTAACCATGTGCGCGCGCACACACACACAACACAACACATGCTCGAGGGGACTGCCCTGTAATGATGGTGAGTGTAAATGATGGTGGATGTGCATGAAAGTGGAGGAGGAGGAGGAAGGGTTGCATGAGGGAATGTAGGCCAATCATTCTGCTCAACTGCTTTCATGCTGAAGAGGCCAAAAAGGAGAGAAAACCCAACAAAACACAACCAGACCAACAAAACCAGACAGTCCTCATCTCACCGCCTCCCGACAGCCCCCCCACCATCTTTTATTCTTTCCTTACTCTGGGATCTCTTAGTTTTTTAAGTGTTTTGGCTATTTCCCTCCCTGTCCCGGCTTTCTATTTATTTCCAGCCCTCTCACTGTCCAGACGACACAAAGGTTCGATGTTGTGTGCACACAGTCCTTGCCCTGGTAACTGTTGCCTGGATACAGCATGTTAAAAATCACATCAACATCTCCCCAGAGGAAGAAATAAGTGCTTTTAATGGAACAGGGCTTGAGGGATAGAGGATGGAGTCTGCAGAGGTTTTACATAATTGAGGAGGGTTTTGGAAACATTCAGGAGCTGGAGAGGAGCAGTTCAACCAGCAAAATGACCAACCGTGTAGGATGACTTACCTGACTATTTTTCATCATGTTAAGTGTGAGGTCTATTGGTTGCATCCAGTCTTCATGACCGCATCACGACTTTATGAGTCTGACGTGTGCACAAGGAAAGAGGGGGAAAAAAAAATGAAAACTCACTGGAACAATCACATCATCGTAGAAACTCCAGGCCAGCGCCCAGCGCATCGTCCGGCCCTGACAGAACTCTGTGTGCGTCACTTTAGGCACCTGACAAAAAAAAAGAAGGAAAGGGTCACTGTGGGGCAAGCTGCAAAAAAAAAAGTTGATTGGTTGGATATAATAGCATGGAAACTGAGCAGCTTTGGTCAAAAATGTAATTGCTTTCTTCTTTCATTAATTGTAAACAGGCAGGTATCAGTATGTTTGAATAAATCTTGGCAAATGTGAATAATCAACAGGGAAAACATGTCCTTTTCTTTGAGTTAAACTTTAAATAATCAACCCTGCAAGTTTTCATCGCTTTCGAGAAATACGGTTGTATTCCTATCAAGATTCTTTAAAATTATCATGTGAGATGTGAGGCTCCTACAGACAGATTGTGAATAAGTGGCCGACCAAAGATCCAAAGATGTTGTCATATGTTAGAAAATCTGATTCAATTTTCTCTCTATAGTCTCTCCTTGACACATTTCTAATTACTCTCATGTCCACACTTTATCTCTCCGACATTGTTTTTAGTTTGCAAAATTCTAAAAACAAAACCTGAGGGCTGCAGAGGAAATGAAGCTTTTTTTTTGTCTCAGTGCTCTGTAATATCAGAAAGGAAAGGGAAACTATTTAAATTGCTGTGGGAAATAAAAGTTCTCCTTTCACAATCAATCATACTGATAAAAGACTGGCTGAAAAAAAGATATTTAATATATAACACCAGATGAAAAGCACTTGAAACTTTAATTAAAATACTAAAGAGCTGAAGCTACTAGAGCAGCTGTCTGCTTGCATGCGAGACAGTTTGGGGATTATGATATGCAAAGTATGTGATTAAATGTAAAGCAGCTCCATATTAACAAATCCTTTTCAAATGAAGACACCAAACATCATTTTGGCGTCACTGAGCTCCGACATCTCTAACTTTGAGTGAGAAAACAAAGATCTGTGCTGTGAGAGGGACACACATTGGGTGTGAAAGCCCTTGTGCTAACAGCGCACTTTAACTTCCTCTCAGGACTGCTTCAGCAAACAGGAGGAAGAGGGTCACTAAGACAAAAGGTCAGAGGTCAAAGAGCTCTGTATCGGAGACATCTGCTAAATTAAAAAAACAAAACAAAGAGAGATGAGGGGACACTGGAGAGGAAAGATCAAAGAATGAGTGATAAAAGCATTAGCATATTAACTAAGGCAGTTTCTGTGTGCACACTGTAAAATGAGGAAACAGTTTCTTCTCTGGACATGTGCCAAGCCTGCACTCACCGTGATGAGCGGCAACAGCACCCTGAAACCTCAGGAGGAGGTTTGAGGGATAGGAATGACTGACAAAGGACCAGAGGCCTGCAGCCTTTAGGAGTCATGTGGCGGGCTATTAGCTGTGCTAATGACGCTTAGCGGCGTGTGATCCAGTCATGCACCGCTAACAGAAATAAGTTCATTGAAGGCAAATTTTTGACGCCGCTTATTCTTAATATTTTTTTTGGGATCTGTGCCTTGAGTGACAACTGTCAGCTTCAACAGTCAATAGAGTCTGAGTCCCTGATGAGCAGAGGTTTGAGTGGGGAGAAGAAGATTGTTTTAACAAGCTGTTCTCTAACCCTGCAGAGAAGGAACTCAAACACACTGCGATAAAAGCTGTGCAAGCAGGTGTGTTGTTGGTGCTTTGCTTCGTACTCACCCCTTGCTTCCTCAGCTCCTCTTTTAAAGGCGTCAAGCTGCATTTCTTTCCCAACATGCAGCTGTACCACCTGCAGAAAAGAAGAATACATATTAACCAGCTGTGCGTCTGGGTGTGCGCAGTCACAGAGGAGGAAAAGCCTTTCTGAAGTCCTCCTTTGGTCTGAGGCCTGATCAATAATCTCTGCTGTGGAATAAAGAGATAAGGTTGGTCCTGATCGATAAGTGCAGTAGAGTCCAGTTTGGGGAAGTTGGGCGGAAAGATAAACACATCAAGGGGGCACTCTCAGAGGAGGACCGGCAATTTTCACAAACCTTTTCAGGGTTTTTATAGTTTTCTCTGGATTTATCTATAATACAGAAATGAGCAATATTAATACTTCTATGGGGAACACAGTTGCCGTTCTGTGCTTGATATATAAACGTTTAAGATGAAGGAAATCTAAACGTCTACTGAGTGATGTTCAAACCTTTGGAAAGCCATATCCTTAAACATAAAGTCATATGAAGCTACATTCCCAGCCCACTGCTGAAGATGAGCTCCGATATTAAAATCAGTTTACTAACTGTGTGAGTGACAAAGGAGGATGATTTGTAACGATGTCAAGGAGGTATGAAGATGCCCAGAGGTGAAGGGGCAGGGAGGAGCGGCACGTGAGCCTCAGTTGTCACAATGAAATATTCAACAGCTCTAATATTCACAGAGGTTTCCCCACTTTTCGTCACAGTGGGGAGGAACACCAGGAGCAGCACCCCGGCCTCCCCCCCTTTTTTCAAACATACTGAAGGGTGCAGCTGCATTAGTACACCCTCAGCTACCTCTTTACATGTTGGAGCACTGTATGATTACAATCTCATAACCCGAGGTGGTAATTTTCATATCAATGGCAGGATAAATGAGCAGTATTGCCTCATTTCTAGCTGGGATTTTTAATTCATCTGCGTGTGGATGTGTTGTACTGGGAACGGATCTGGCTTGTTCCTTTTGACAGTAATTACACTTCAGTGGAAAAATTGGGGAGAAAGCAGCAGGGTGGGGTGGTGTGGGTCATCTCAAAGGACCAATCTGTGGGGTTGTCAGTGTTGCCATGGACACCGGCTCTGGTGTCCCAGCCTGCTTTTGGGAGTGACAGTATGCTCCGGTTGGTTTGCCCGGGCCTCAAACCTGTTTAATAAGACTCTGCTGTTCTTTACAGGGCTGCACGAGAGCAGCCAGGTGTTGAGATCAGATTCCTCTCAGGGCTGCTCGTCTTTCCACCGACATACTATGCAAATGCACACGCATGTACCCACGCACACACACACACACACACACACACAGAGCAGGTGTGGCATGTCTAATCAGTTTTAATAGCAGCACCCTGCAGCTCCCTCTATCCTTGTCTCACTCTGCTGCCCTGCTGACAACCCTGGTAGCCGTGGAGGGTAAAGTGACAGCCGCTAGAGACACCCCCACCCTCCAACACACCCACCCACCCAAACACAGCTGTTCCCTGTGGGCTCTCGGATACAGTGCAGGCTAAGCGTTTGCCAGGACCATTAAAACAATTCTGGGTGACAGCTCCATCTATGTGCAGCAGCCCATCTGCACTTTTCATCTCCTCTTCAACGGAGCTCTCAGCCGACACTTCAACCTCTCAGGGTCTCTCAAACTGCAGCATTCCTCTCCCTCCACCTGCTAATCATGAACCCTGGTTTATTACAATTTCTGTCTATGATTTGGTGTGATAAATCTGGTTTAGATTTGGCTTTACACACAAAAAAATCCAATGCAGCTGAAGAGAAACTATTCTAAGAGAAAGGTTTTATATTTATCTCACCGTAGGCGTTTCTTAAGCTGCAGGCTGTCATGAATGATCCTCTTGACAAACTCCAGTTCCCCACCCTCCGCCATGATCTCCGTGACCCCACCTGTGTTCACTGAGCTGGGAGGAGGTCGGCGTGAGTTTCTGGAGTTAACCCCCTGTAGAGAAGCAACAAGACAGACAGAGATTAAGATGAAATCCTATTAGTAGACTGTTACTATCGTGTAAACAAATAGTGTTTTGTGACAGGTGCTCCATGGTCAGTCAACAGGTGCTGTTTACACTAAAGGAGCCGAACAATAATGTACGAAGAAAAGTGATGCTCAGATATTCAAATGTGAAGAGGCCAAAAAAAAAACATTTTACCTTTGCTTCCAGCTGGTTGGCGAAAAAAGGAGGGTTGCACATGCAGAAGTCATAAACGATTTCTGTCTCTTCTTTTAAAGCGTCCATCAGTAAAGTCTTCTGAGGGACTTTAACAACTAGGATACAGATGAGACAATGTTAGTCTGATGTACAAGCTAATCATGATTGTTGCAGATAAAAGAGAACATTACAACAGAAACTTGATGAAATTGACACACTGTGGCTTTAAATCACTTGATGTCATACTGTGACTTAAAGCTTTGTTGACCAAACACAGCAGGGTTTCCACATGTTTATGTCAAACCGGAGGCCATCAGGTCCTAAGGTCACCTCCTTCCCTTAAGCGTCAGCATATATATTTTTTTTACACTACAATTACAGTGGGGGAACCCCCTTCCCCCATAATGGTCTATATTAAACCTGTCTATCTAAAACCAAACAATCAGAATACAGCATGAAATGGGACATTAAAGCCGATGCATGAAGCAGGGATGTGATTGGCATCGGACAAAAAAGTAGGTAATGTCAGAAACCACTTTAAATGAGATTAGCACACCTATTGACATTATTCTAGTACATTTTAAGAACCTCTGTGTCAGCAGTATTTCAGAAGTGCAGAACTTCTGTAGCTGTAGGCTATAGCTAATGTGTATTTTATTCAATTCTAGTTTCATTTTGCACACTGGTAAGTGTGTTTAAAACACTAACTGAAACATGATTTAGAATGTGTTTTTTTTCTTTGACATACACTGTCAGGCAGCTTAGGCCATGCAATGCATTAGTTATCTATTTTATTGTTGTTTTAACGGACTCCTGATTCTCATTCGGGGGGGAATGTATTACATTTCAGTGACAGACAAAGAGAGTCCCTGTAGCTATAGAGTGAGATGATGTACCACTTCAGAGAAAAAAGTGGCAACATCCTTATTATACAGTGAAATCAGTGGATCACTATAACAGTGAAAGACTCAAGGAAAGGTTTGACAAAAAAAAGGAAATAAGAGGGCATCCCTGTATTTCAGATAAGCATTTTTCTCACTGTGAAAATAATCAGCAGATTCATTTATAAGAAAATTGATCGACACTCATTCGTATTGCCTTCCTGAGATATATTGCTCCATGGTGAGTGCACCACATCTACCTTTAATGAGGTCGGACAGGTTGTTCTGCTCCACGTTTTTCGTTGCGTAGTCAAAACAGACGTCGTCCACCTCCGTGGCAAGGAAGTACCAGCCGTTCATCGTGGCTCCCAGCAAGGGGTAGATACAAGATGCACCAGTGCCTGAGGAAACACACACACACACACACACATCAGCACACATGATGTGTGTAATAACTAGGATGATGAATTGTTTTTTATTGAAGCATATAGAAAGTGCTTTTTAAAGAAATGTGTGCTTAATGAACAACCCGCTCCACCTGCTGAGCCTCAGCCACAGTTATAATTATTTGAAGGGAAGATTGTCCCAGAACGTGCGATGGTGTCTTTCTAAAAAATTATCTGAAGCTCAGAGGCCATAATGGACACTAAATGTCAGTTCCAGGAGGCTTTTATTAAATTATTCACAGATGTCATGCTGCATAATTCAGTCCAGACTCAGACAGAGGTGGCACCTGTTAGTAAAGGAAATGACCAGAGGTGATCCATCAATTAGCAGACATCTTCAATCTGCCTGCAGAGAGATTCAGGGTGACCAGTAAGTGACCCAAGATCCTAAAGAGCACCCACACACACACAAACACACACATGCACGTGCGCACATACACACACACCTGCAGCACAATCACAACAAAGACACAACGCTTTCTCTGTGACAGACAGAAGCCCAAACAAGCTGTGACATGTGGACTGGGATTTGGCTGCTTAGTACTGGGAACACTGGGAACAACTGGGCTCATCTGCACCAGCTGGAAGAACCACCTGACATTTAGTTTGCTGTTCTGAGCTGCTGGCAGCCACAGCAAGAATAAACAAGAGCCCCAGGTCTCAAACTCTGATTAACTGGGAGAAAACCACTTGAGCTCTCAACACGTTTTCTTCTCTGACACTGAATTTCAACCAGATCCACTCATAACTGAGCTTTACCTCTTTCTTTTATGTGCCTGGGTGTTCAGCTCTGCGTGTTAAGTGAGGCTGAGTTGTTATTAATGATCATAATCCTTAAAAAACAAATAAAATCCTCCGAACATATGAGACATGTAGCCGTCAGATTTGTGCTGTTGGTTTTTGCTGTGGTGTTTGATTTTTTTTTACCAGTAAGTTGGATGCCGCTTAAAAATTGATTGTGAAACTAAATGATCATTTTGTAAGAAAACTTGCTAGCAAATTCATAATACGCCATCATATACAATTTGGGAAAATAATCAAAGGGAAGAAATTAGGAAATACTTTAAGGCAAAAAATATATATATATTTGAAGGACCCTTTTGAGATTGTCTTAGAGGTACATCAGGTTGCTTGTTCATAGTTTAAGACCTCTGAGCTGAAAATGTTTGTGTAAACGACAGAGGAATTGACTGAATAACCCAAAAATCCTTTGGATACATGAACGGGACTCTTTGGAGCATATTCAGCACTTGATTATGAAACTTCAAATAACACATGCACACTAAATGGAAAGTGTATCAATGCTGGTACCGATGTCGATTCCTCTGCGCGGCTGCTTCTGGCCGTCGATGAGGTCCTCCACCCAGTGGATGTAGTTGAGGCGGAGGGGGACGGTGGGAATGAGGCGCTCCAGAGGGATCTGGATGGTCAGTCCAAAGTCCTCCTTCAGCAGAGTGCAGGTCAGCGCTCGCACCGCCTCAGGCTCTTTAAAATTCACACTAGAAGAAAGACAAACAGGACAAATGAGTTCCTGACAGCATTTCAATCCTCCAATAACAACATGTCTAACCTAAAATGTACGTGTTAGATAAAGGGGAATTTAATTCTACATTTACAACCTGGGTCCTACCTCATTGTTATCCATTTTCTCATCTGATAGGAAGATTGGTATTCAAGCCCCACTAACAGATAACATTGCTGAAAACTGTATTTATTTTACAGACAGAATATAGTCAGCAGGAATGAAAATGTAAAGCTGTTGCATATTGAAAGCTGGAAGTGATTTCTGGTCAGCAATATTACCCAGTCTGCCTGATCAGAAGCTTCAGGATTTAAATGTAAAGCTGCCAGTTTGAGGCTACAATAACAATGTTATTTCTTCTACAGTTAATTGTTTCCTTTAAAAAAAAAGAAAAAAAGAAAAAAAAAAAAAAAACTACTTTGGCTCTTTTAGTTGTAAAAGAAAAGGCTTGTAAAAAAAACAAACAGGTGTATATTTCTCAAGGTAGGGTGGTATAACGTAAACAGTGTCCAGCCCTGGAGGATTGAGGTTAAGGACAGAATGTTAGGGTAATGATTCAAGCAAACATGAGTGGCTAGTGTTAAAAAGCCCTTCCAGCGACGAGTGTTGCAAATTAGCACCTGCTAGAAACACTTTGAAACAGTGTATATTGTATCCGTCCCTATCAAATGAACAATCACATACAAAGAAAAGAATAAAAGCTCTAGAACCTCTACTTTTTTGTTGCTTTGTCTGAAAGTCTCATCCTGTTTCAAAAGATGCAACACAACGTTTTTATTACTCAAAGAACAGGTGGCAAAAAAAAACCCCACCACACTCGTGAAAAACCTGACATCCCTTTGAGGATGATGTCAATTTAGTGATTGCTGATCCTCTCGTTTTTTTACCAGTGAAACAGCCTGACAGTAATTTACCAAACTCTCTTAATGCAGCTCTTCATTAACCCTCTGCAGCTCTCTGCACTCAACCCCATTAATTCACATTACACACACACACACACGCAGAAGACAATAGGGAGATAAGCAGGCCGTCATTTCTAAACAATCCCCTGCTAATGACAATGAAATTCAAATTTACAACACTGCACAGACCTCACACATCTTCCTCCTGAATTCTCAGTCACACGTTTGTCTCTCGTCTTCTTCTCCTCGACATGTTTAATTATTTCAGCTGTCACACAGGCAGGCACGATTGCGGCAGACAAAACGGGTGGGCGAGATAGGTATAATTAAAGCTTTGCTGAGCGCTTTCACACCTTGGCAGATGTAATTAGACACATCCTGGTGATGGCAGTGTCTGGCCCCTCAATAGTGTGGTGTAAGAACAGCACCATTAGAAAAAAAAACCATCTACTGCTGTTCCAGATGGAGGTACGGTTGTGTGATTTCATTTTTTTGTGGAAAAATAAATTCCCATTTTGAATTTGTTGCAAGCAGTATGTTTCAAAAACCTTTAGACAGGGTCGTGTTTTCCAATCTGTTGCACCACTTTCTTTTCTCAAGTTTATTTTGGGGATTTAATTCTTTTATTGATAGAACAGTATCAAATATGGGGTTTCAATGTTTTGCAAATAATCATGTTCTGTTTTTATTTACATTTTACTACAAAGCATTTTAGGAAAGAGCTGAGTGAGAAGTTATTGCTTGTTGACATAAAATAGTTTTCTTAATTATTGCGATTCATTCAGACTTTTGGGACGTGATTTTTGCGAACGTTCATATCTGATAACGATGAATGGTCATTAATTGTGCATCCCCAGGTAACATCTGGCTTTGTTCACATATTTCCCCTCTTTCCTTTTTTTTTTTTGGATCGTCTTTCTGTCTCGGCTGTCTATAAGAAAGCATAAAACCCCCACAGAAAATCTAGATGAGGCCTTTTACTCTGATGTTCAATTCAAAAGAAGTGACTGGCTCCTCACCGGGATGTTTCTGGTCACTGACTGACCTCTTCATTCAGGACTGATAAAGACAAACAGCTGAGTCTGACATCAATCTTACCTGCTGTCTCTTCATCTAATCAACATGTTAGGCTAATGGTCCAGTTTAATCAGCTGCAGAGGAGAGTCTGACCTCTCAGAAACAAACACCTGGCTGCTCTGAGGACGTAGCACAGCATTTGCAGAGGAAGAACCAGAGAGAAAACGGCCACTTTGACAATGTCCTGAGCTTTGGGGAGGAATCTAATGAGGACGAAGTGACACATCAGCATAACACTCACTTGTTTCCAAATGAAGGCCTGCCTCACAGATATCCGGCCCTCTTTCATTTCTCCTCAGAGGCATCATTAGATAAAGATCAATATTCAGGGAGGGAGGCTGCACAGGCCAGCCCTCTATTTTTAGCCCTCGATACGTGTACGTACGTGCCACTGTGTGTGTGTGTGTGTGTGTGTGCAGTGCAGACCGATCACTCCCATCAGCAGCACTGCGTATGCCACATCTCCATGGCAACCCCACCTACTGAACAGATGAAGAGAGCACGCAAATCCGGCCACGCTGGAGCAATGGCTGATGCCAGACAAGAGCGTGAGCGTGCCCGCAAATTTACGCCTGTGCTCTCCACGCAGGTGCATCGCTGCGTGCTCACATCTCCTGTACGTAGCTGACGGGAAACAGAGTGGGACAAACTGGGTATAAAAAAAAATGTTTGGGATGGGACCAAAAACACTTCTGCTGCTTTTATGATTGATTCCAGCTTACATGTGGATGAAATAAGGACCAGGTGAGGAAAACGGAGAGACTCTGCAGGTGAAGAAGAGGAGATGAAAAGTGCTGCGAGGCAGAAAACTCTTCACGAGGAAGGAGAGGAGGCATCATTAGAGCAGAGGAGAGGTTATTGCTGAGACAAACAGCTGGCTCTCACCTCCACGCTACATGATCAGTATGAAAGCATGCTCACACAAACACACACGCAGACACATATGATCAAACACACACAAGCTTATTCTACCTGCGTCCACAGGGAGGTGACCTTCAAGGTGCATCTTCTTCACTTTGAGTGCGCTTGGATTTAAAAAAAAAAATTTATTGCTTATTAGCCACAACTCCTTTTCCTGTGTCAGGCTTTTCTTTCTTTGTTAGTCCTCACAAGAGCAGGAAAGAGTGCATCATTTAAAACTTTACATGATTTAAATGCCACTGACATATTCAACTGAGAGTTGAATATGTTGGGTTTTTTTCTGCTGACTTGCTGATGCAGTGAAAAGTGGGCTGATTTCTAATCCAAACAACAACCAGCAACAATGGCTGAAAGGATTGTTTCCCTCATATATTTAGCCAAGTATGCTAATTATTATTATTCTGATTATGGAAATTGTTTGTTGGAGTAGGTTTAAGTGGTCAAGATAGATTTTTATCACTGTAAATAGAACATTACATGTCCCCAAGTCATGACACAAAAGGCAAAGAAAATGTAGAAAAACACCACCAGATACGATACATGAACAATCACATGTTGCTTGTGAAAAACAATCATTTTCATTTAAAAATAAAGAAGTGATGAAAAATGATAAAGAACATTTCATTTTAGGGTGACGGCCGAGAAATCAACAGCTTGAGCTAGAGTGATGGTTTGTGACTTTACTGTGAATTGAATAAAGCCCACTCGAGTATAAACCTGAAGCCAGTCGACACACTACATTCATACTTAATTTTTTAACATGTTAGAAGATACAAGTTTTGAAGTATGGAGATGGTTTTGTGCCAGGACATTAAGGGAAGGAAAGATAAGGCACACAGCACATGACTTCCTGAACAAAGCCGTTCTTTGAAGAGGAATATGTAAAAATAATGTCCCACCTAAGGGCTGCAAGTTCCCCTCTCTCCCATCTGATAATAAAAAGGTCTGTATGGTAATGGCTCTGCTTGGCTTCCTAGTGAGAGAGGTGCAGCCCAGAATTAAAAGGTTTACATTTATCAATTTGAATGTTGGCATCTTAGTCCAGAATTATCCATTTCTCCTATATTGCCAAGAACATATTAAATAAAATATACTGGTGTGAAAATGTAACATTTCAATAATTACAGGAGTGAAAATCCTTCACAGATGATCGTCTTTCAGCCCATAAAAAATATGAGTACCAAATTAAATTCCATCCAGGCTGTTGCATTTTTAATACCCATTCAAACCTCCTAATCCCACCCCTCTATCTTCCTGATCTGAGCCCCTCCTTCTCCTATAACTGAAAGAAACCAACATCAAGACCGTTTCGGGTTTATTTAGTCCTCACTTCAATTCCAATTACATCCACCATATTTCTTCTCCAGCAGTCTCTGGTCTGAACTCGACTCTCAGCCCGCCGCTATCAGCCCTCTCCACTGACGATCCCTGAATGAAGGGAGGCATATCTCCCCGGAGGATTGCGTGAGTGTCTCCCCAAGATTACGCTCATCCCTGACTCACTGCTTAAATACTTAAAAAACCAAGTCCATGAATTCATTGGGGAATACAAAACCACACTAATCCCTCCACTGATGGAATGACAGACTGATGGGGAAGAGGAGCCAAATTTCTGCAGAAGGCCAACCAAAGCTGGTAGCACATATGAAGTCGAAATCCTGGACCTCTGTTCTGGTAACTGCAATAAAAAAATAATGAACTAGCAACTGACTTCAATTTGAGCAATTTGCTGCGGGCGCAAAATATATGGAGGAGCCATAACATGCAATAACATGTGTGACATGTGTGAATAAAACTAACTCAGGAAGATTCCAGGAGCATCCAGCCGGAGATTTTATAGCAATGTTTAGGAGTGCATATGTGAAAATGTATTTTCTTTGTTTCTCAATTAGCATTTTCTGTGCTTCCACTCATCAGTGTACACTGCTAATCATGGAAAATATGCCAAGAACTATGAGTATCCTGATAGTGTAGCATAATGGTCAAAAAGGTGAAGTGTGCAAAGCGTTGTCACCCTCAATGGTAAACACCAAAATACTTGAATAAGTAATGGTTTTTGTCCTGACTGCTACTTTTTATGCAAACATACAACCTTAAAGTTATCGTGTGATTGTTTCAGTTTATTTAATAGTTTAAAAAAAAACTGGTCTATATTACACTTTAGACTTTTGTATTTAATAAGGGTTAGTAATGATACTATGGCTGTAGATTTAGTCGCTTTTCCTGAGTTTAATCAGATTTGCTTGTTAACTGCTTTAAACGTTGTCTAATTCATCAGTTGTCTAAAACCAATCTCCACGTTTGATGTCCAACCCCAGCAGTTCCAGCCCATTGTTTGTTTGTCTGTCTGTCTGTCTGACGTACATGACGACACTGTGGGATGATAATTATCACCTGTCACAGATGGACATCGAGTGTTGTGTCACAGCGTGTCCACACATGCATGGTACGCCACCAATAGATGATTGACTGGTCACCTCACAGCCACAAAGACTCTGCCCACACCAATATGTTCACCGCCACACACAGATGTTCAGACCTGCTGCAGAGACATCATGTCCGCATTCATCTGCATAACGCACACAATATAAAGAGATTTCCTCACTTAGCAGACGGGCCAGCCGTATCATACAGACCCAAACAAAGAGGAAGGGGAGCGTCTCAGTCCTGACAGGCAAACAGCAGCCATTAAATACAAGTCAGACAATAATTGTCAGCTCGTACACTAACCAGGACTTTGCTCTGCGACTGACAGTCACTGTATTAATAAAGAACAACAAAAACATGGAAGTAAAACAAGAATGACAAGTTTGTCAAATAATAGACCCAGCTTATCCAAAATATATTTAAAGCTAAAGTAAGAAGAGCTGGGCTTAATTTAGTTTTTTTTTTGTCTTTATCAATATCAAAATAACTGAAGACCCATTCAGGAATAAATCCCTGTGCTTTTCAGTTATTCAACTCCTTGCTATGATGACATCTTAACAATTACAAAGCAAAAGGATGTAGACTTTAAAGGATACAGATGTTATAAAGGAGAGAACAAAGAGCAACACCCTGACTTACCAACAACACATCTGATACGCTTTAGTGTTCTTGAACGAAGGCTTTTTCTCATCAATGCATTTGTACCCAAAGGGTTGGAACCTGTGATAGACAAGCACCTCTTTTCCCGTAAAATAGACAACAACAGACGACTGACACTGCAGCTCCAATCAGAAGTGGTGTGGGTTGCCATTTATCCAAACAGGATCAAAAATAACTGAACAGTCCAGGAAACATCCAAATAACGTCACCTTGAGAAATGTATCCAGTCTAAACTGGACTTGAGTTGATGTTTGTCTGAAATGTTCTAGTGGACAACAGCATTTATAACTACGACAGAGGATCAGGGCCACGTTAAAGAAAAAAAAAATCTGAATTGACGAGATTAATCGTAAATTTACTTGAGTTTATTCTTGTGAATTTACAATTAATCTCGTCAATTCAGATTTTTTTTTTAACGTGGCCCTAATCCATCGTCGTATGTAACAGATATAATGACACCATATGCTAAATGAAAAAACATTCATCGTTGTGTAAGGTGTTAAACATATAAAATAAATATATGAGCCCAATTAAATATTCTTCAACAAAATTCTCATTCCAGTTAAAGTATTGATAAGGAGTAAGTAAAGCACAGGTGTACTGATCAACATTAACTAACGCTCTCTATTTAATTCAGTAGGTGTGCACAATAGGAGGAGCCTGAAAATGTCAGGTCAAGAGGATCAATAGTTATTGTTGGACATGTGCTTCATCTGATTTATAGTCTTATATAAAAAGATGATCACTATAGAAAACACACAACAGCCAAATGACTAAATCATCATTGTGATTCATCCAGGAAGCTGTGTCAGGTTAAATTAAACTAGCTAATAGATCTTCATTTCTCCTGAAGCCAAACATCCGCCTAGATTTACCAGGTGTGTAAAAAGTGCCAATATATCAGTACGCTGGACATTTTGACCCACTGAGGACACAAGAAAAGTTCTGTAAATCTCAGCCTCCACTACCACATCTGCTCAAACAAAAAAAAAATGAAGGCAATCTTGAGCTCACAATGCTCAACGTCAACATCCACTAATCCCGCCAGACATATTCTACCTTTGTTCTCCTGCCTGGACTTTTTCCACAGCATGACTTCTCAGCAGTGTCTCACTTTGAGGGGAACACAAACACACACAAGTCAAGTTCCAGTCCTATAATTTGTATCCTGGCACTTTGAGGGAAACACAGGAGTCTAACGGGGCACTTTTTGACCGACACACTCAACCATTCTTCAAATTTGGAGTTCCTATAAATGTGTCACTCATTAACTTTTGAAGTCTCGTGTATGGAAAAGGGCACCAGCTAAATAAAAAATAAAAAATCTTTTGATGTTCAGTCCATGAATCGTTCGTCCAGGTTTCGTGGTCGTCCTGCTGTTGCTAGAAGCTGAATGAGCAGTAAAGATCAGACTGAGTCAGCTGGGGCCTGAGCGGTGCTGAACTGGGTCCTCAGGGTCTGACTTGTTTGTGCTCAGAGCTTCAAACACTTCACACAATATGGTCAAATATGTGTTGGACGGATACCACTCTTGCTTATCTTCAGTCGAAAATGACACACAATAATATGCAGCTATAAAGGAAGAGTTCATGATATGTAGCTTTTTGCATTACACTGGATGGATGGTAGAGCTTGAACATGTTTCTATACAATGCGGCTGTGGGCACAAGGGCATGTTAAAACTGTGTCTTTTTCTTTTGGCAAAATGGAATAAAAAAAAAAAAAATCACCATTCCCTGCAACCAAGAAATGTGCAAAATGTGTTAGATATAATAAACTACTAAAGCTGTTCTATGTTGATGAAATATTTCAGATGAGGGATGAACAATCAATGAGATAACATACCACACAAGCTCTGTAATGTTGGTTACTTACACTGGTCTTCCTGCGAGGCTGGTGTGCACATGCTGCTGGAAGTCTGGATATTTGGAGGCTAAGTAACCAAAGTCTGGAGGTTTGTCTTTGTATCGGTTCCGGGTGTGCATTGACTTATTAAGAGCCATGATCAGAGCCCTGAATCAGGAAGGAAAGACACCAGACATGAGCATAAACAGCAGCAACACATGGCACTAGAAGAAACATGAAAACAGCAGCAGAAGAAGTCAACTTTGAAGCAACTAACTGTGGTAACTAACTAAGACTTGAATTATTTGAAGTTAAACTTAATATCGGCATAAAACTTTGCTAAACATGGTTGGCAACTTGCTGCTCTTCACACAGCTGTTCTTTATTGAGCGGCTTACAAAGTCGCTGATTCCGTTTGTTTTTAGCAGCTGGCTAACATTTTGAGCGGGTGTATTGTATGTTTTTGTTCCTGCCTACCTGACTGACGTTTTCCTTTTTTGCGGTGAAGCCTGCTAATAGTTTCTGTGTGTCTTAATAACACTGTGTTACTGTGGAGAATACTCACACATACTCACGTTGTCCAAACGTTTCCCTCTCTTCCTGGCTGCGCAACACGTCACCATGTCTACGTCGTTGCGTGTTGACGTAAGCAACGAAACGCCCCCCCCCCCTCCATGGAGACTGTTTCAGAGTTATTTATCTTTTACAAAAGCTGAGTTAAATAAGTCACTTTACTGGTTTTATAATGGAATATTATTGTGAATGTTATTTTCTGATAGTTTTGTATTCAAAGATGTTTTCAGGAAGGCTAGGTTAAAGTTTCCCCCCCAAAACCATATTTTTCTGCCAAGCTTATTTTATTAACCTACATTCATACTAACTTTACAAATAGTGCCTTCCCCTTATTATTAATATCCATTTATTTTGGATTTAATTTCGTTATGCTGTAATTGTACCTTCCTTTACATTCTCACCTTTATTACAAAAATAACTAATTTAAAAAACAGTTTGTGACTGTGTCTTTCAATTTTTCAGCATCAACTTCAATGAACTCTTATTTCAAATGTAGGCTAAATTTAGACATTGTCCCTAATGCTGCTGTGTAATACTTTCTTGCCTTGCAATCCATGAACAATAAGAGCCAAACAAATACACAGGACAACATGGAGGCAGATTTTCATCTTTTATTATATCGCAAACAATAATGACATCCAGGTATATTGTTAACAGTTTGCTGAGTGAAGAGTGAGACCATAGTGGTGAAAACAATGAGCTCTCCTGTGTTGTGCAGTCTGAAGCCCTCGATTGTGGTTCATGGACAGATAAAAGTGTGGTGGACTTTGGGCCGAGGTTAAAAAACAACAACAACAGACAGCCAAAACTTGTCTGTCAGTCCCTTCACACACCCGACCTATGTAGCACAGGGATTGCTTGGGACCTGCGAATGGCAAAAGGGGATTTTTTTTGTTTTTTTTCCCACAGGGCACACACTTGCTTCCAACACCAGCAGCTGTGTTGTAGCTTTTTTCCATCGATTCTTACAAAAGAAACAGAACACACATCGTCCTGACCCTTGATTAACCACGTTCCTTGAATAAAAAACAAGGAAGTAGTTTTCAATTTACATTTTATGGTCTGGCATGTCATAGCGTGATCCTGAGGAGACAAGAATCATTTTCAAAGTTGGCCAAACAGTGTTGGACCTAAAGAAAGAGGCTGACTCATCAAGCTAAACCAGATTGTACAGAGGAATGTCTCCTTTTTTTTTTTTTGGCTTTAGCTAGAACATTAAACAAATTGGCATCTTCATTAGCTGTGCCAAATTGTAATACAAAAAAAAAGCTGGTTTTCCACCTTAAGTCTTCCTTGGAAGTAAGGACAGAGACAACAGCTTAATGAAAAAACAAAAGAAGACCTTTAAGTGGGCACACCCAAAAAGGAGACATTAGTTTGATTCCCTGAAAGAAAGAAAGAAAGAGGTTCTCCTTTGGGACATCCCAGTCTGCCACAATCCCATTAATGTTACAGAAGAAGGAGGATATACGCCTCCTTCAAATTGCATCACACAATCAACAAAACCAGCCTTTCTGCAACCATTGAACAGAGCTGTCTGAACTCAGCGAGCCAGGGGACCAAAGAAGACACATTGTAAAAGACTATTTAGGGAAACAAAAACACCCTATTGCTTGTTCACTTTCTTACCGAGTTGGGTTCACCAGTTTGCCCAAAAAACTGTAATGCTTTCATGATAAATATGCATCTTTTGCTAGCATCAGTTTTACTTAGCATAAAAAACAGGTGTACATTTCTAGCATTGTTTCATTCATTCAGAATAACAAGAGGCTACATACAGGCGTTTAAACTCATTTTTTAAAGCCAAGCCGGTACCAAGAAAATGCTCAATTCAGAGACTTGTATTTTAGAGACGGAATAACTTTAATAATAAATGTCAAGCTTTCCATTTGAGCTTAATTCTTTACAATGGCATTAAAAGGTAAATAAACAAAAATAAAATGACATCTTTTTTACTTCCATTGCCAGCCAATCAGTGACAGTCCAATGAGTTAAAGGTTCCAGTTGACAATAAATCCCGTCATAAAATATAATTTCATATTTGATTTTTTAACAGATTAAACATGAGATTGTAGCTGTTAATCAGGAAACTTGTTTTAGCAAGTTAGCAGATTTGCTACATTGCAGGGGAACAGGCTAGCTGTTTCCAATCTTTATGCTTGGCTCAGCTTAAAGGCCATGTGCTCAAAATACGAGACATGTATCAATTTTACCATACTTTTCAAATAGTTTAAGTACTTACGGTACACAGAGACATTATTCAAACTAATTGGTCAGTGATGGATAGTCTCCAATATTCAAGCTTTTTAACTAATACTGTTCTGACAGCTCTGCCTCTGGTGCAGGTTTACATGCAGCAGTGCCACATCAACAGGTCACATCAGGCTCACATTAGCCACTAACAGGAGCTTGAGCAGCAGATCATCACATCCAATACACACAGGAAGAGGAAAAACATGGCAAAGAAGCGAAGATAAGATCAGTTTAAGCAGTGGAATTCTTTATTAGCCAACAACTGCATTGGAATGAAAGGGCTAATTAGAAATTATAAGTTTATGCATTTATCAACAGCATTCAATTTTAATGTTGTCTTTGGACCAATCAAGGGCCAAAGATTTAGTAAAAAGAGGGATGTGCAAGATTAATGAATCACCTTATCAGCTACAGTTAGAAGAAAGATGTTTCATGTATTTTGTCCTCCACAGGGCGTGGAATGGTTGTTTCTACAGTATGCACTGGTTTACAGTAATTTTCAAGTCTTTCCACAAAGATCAAAAGCTAAAATTTTGAGGAAAGCCACTCAGAGGTTGTTGCATACATGTGATGTGGGCTGCAGATGGATTCTTCTCTGCAAAGAGTCTCTGCTCAGGTTTTTTCTTTTTTGTAAGCATTCTCCTGCATATCTGATCCAGGAACTGCTCCTGTCCTCTTTCAACAGTGAGGAGCATCCTTAGTATCGGACCCCTCTACAGACTTTACACCATCAACAGATCACTTAACGTCTCTGCTGCCAGCATTTCCTCACTATACCTTAATTCCCATCCAGTTCATCCTTTAGTGCGATGATACAAAATTGCCAAATCTCTTAATAACAAGTTTAATTTACATTTCATATTTTCACAGAAAACTGAATTTTTCTATTCAAAACCATTTGTATACCCTCAGAAATTAGAGATCTTTTGCACATCCCAGATATCAAACCCAGGGGGCTCACTTTGACTCCTCATCATGCCTTTACGTTTTCCTTGTAGCAGGTTGCTTTCCACCAGTGGCTTTCTGTTTGAGGCCTTCATCTGCATCTTCTGACCCCATATAGTTCCTATAGTTAACCAAGCTGTGCCAAGACTGCCTGGATAAGAGATAGGATAAGAGTACTAGAAGTAGATTGAGGTGCCTCAGTTCAATGAAAGTCTGACATGCAAGGTCACAGGGATTCATCTCCTAAAAGGAGACACAACGAAGGTCTTTATCAAGTGCTCAAGATTACACAGGTGTAATCCCGAACTCTGCTCAGATGCCACTGTAACCCAGTGCGCACACTCACGGCGGTAGCCAAACAAACTTGCGGTGTACATTTGGACTTCTTTTGGTAAACACTCAAGTGAGAGAATTCACAAAAGCAACTTTTTTTAAGATTGGTATCTTTTCTTTTTGTTGCAGATTCATTAGATGGGATAATTTATCTAAAGCCTATCAGTGGCTCATGTGCCACCATGACAAGAGTACAAAGCTGTTTTTAAGCCCCAAGGTCCAAGGACAAACGTTTGAAACATTCGTATATACAGCCATTAAAATATTTCCTAGTCCACATGAAAAGAAATGGTACGCACACTTGAGAAGTGATGTTATAAAGCTACAGATTATTTGAAAACAGCCCCACAGACAATTGTATCTTATCGCATCATATATATGCTTTTTTCCTTCCTTATCTCTTGAACGTTTCACCAAGCTAGGCACCAACAGACTACGACAGTGAAGGAGAGAAAAAAAAAAAAACAGAGAAAAAAATCCTAAATAAAAAAATAGACAAAAATAAATCTTACACATAAAGACACTGTCATCTCTTAAATTATCGGTTTTTAGTGCCCTACATTTTACACCCAGTCAAAAAACATCTGCCTTCGGTTGGTTGGTAAGGCTGCGTGACAGACGGCCAGCCTCGTGGTAAACCTATGGTACTTCTAGACGTTATGTAAATTTACAGTATACAATTTTGGATTACCATGCAAGAATACTTTTTTGTGTAACATTTAGTAGCTCGATCTACATCCAGGAATAATTTACATAGATGGACAATATTTATTGGACCAGAGAGAGCGATGGAAAGATAACCATCGTGGTAAGTGCAGCCGGAGGAAGGAGATGATGATGATGATGATGATGATGATGATGATGATGTGCGGGTGAGGATTAGGTTAGGTGAGGGGGCGGAGGGGGGGATGAAAGGGGAAGTGGGATGGTCGAAGGAGAGGTTGGAACCAGAGGAGCATCTGGGTAAATGGGGGTGTTGGTCCAATTCTCCAAGGTCCAAATCAGCGGCACTCCCACACTTTTAATGTTTGATCTACACTCCCAGTGACCACGTAGGGAGCGGCCTTGTGGAAATCTGTTGAGGAAACAAAAAGATAATCAGAGCAAATACAAACTTAGACAAAAAAGTCTTGTTTCCATGACAAATACTTTAATTACAACAACACGGCTGCTGCACACATTTATCTGTGCTCAACCATCCGTCTAGAAGGTTTTCTGCGTCAGATTCTTATTCATCACCGACATTACAGAGTATTCAGCGATTCAAATACTACTTGATGGCTGTTTCCAATGATTGGATAAATAAGACTAGACACAGTCTTTCTTTCCTTTAGCATTTTTTTTTTTCATTAAAAACTGAGAACATTGGCAGAAAATAGCTCCCCAAAACAACCCGTTAAGGTTAATTGTGTGACAGTAACAACAATTCTGCGCTAACAGAAAGGGCAACGTCAGTCAAAGCTA